GCCTTGTTAGTGTTAGCCTTGTTAGTGTTAGCCTCGTTAGTGTTAGCCTCGTTAGTGTTAGCCTTGTTAGTGTTAGCCTTGTTAGTGTTAGCCTCGTTAGTGTTAGCCTTGTTAGTGTTAGCCTTGTTAGTGTTAGCCTCGTTAGTGTTAGCCTTTTTAGTGTTAGCCTCGTTAGTATTAGCCTTGTTAGTGTTAGCCTTGTTTGTGTTAGCCTCGTTAGTGTTAGCCTTGTTAGTGTTAGCCTCGTTAGTGTTAGCCTCGTTAGTGTTAGCCTCGTTAGTGTTAGCCTCGTTAGTGTTAGCCTCGTTAGTAGTGTTAGCCTCGTTAGTGTTAGCCTCGTTAGTGTTAGCCTCGTTAGTGTTAGCCTCGTTAGTGTTAGCCTCGTTAGTGTTAGCCTTGTTAGTGTTAGCCTCGTTAGTGTTAGCCTCGTTAGTGTTAGCCTCGTTAGTGTTAGCCTCGTTAGTGTTAGCCTCGTTAGTGTTAGCCTCGTTAGTGTTAGCCTCGTTAGTGTTAGCCTCGTTAGTGTTAGCCTCGTTAGTGTTAGCCTCGTTAGTGTTAGTGTTAGCCTTGTTAGTGTTAGCCTCGTTAGTGTTAGCCTCGTTAGTGTTAGCCTCGTTAGTGTTAGTGTTAGCCTTGTTAGTGTTAGCCTCGTTAGTGTTAGCCTTTTTAGTGTTAGCCTCGTTAGTATTAGCCTTGTTAGTGTTAGCCTTGTTTGTGTTAGCCTCGTTAGTGTTAGCCTTGTTAGTGTTAGCCTCGTTAGTGTTAGCCTAGTTAGTGTTAGCCTCGTTAGTGTTAGCCTTGTTAGTGTTAGCCTTGTTAGTGTTAGCCTCGTTAGTGTTAGCCTTGTTAGTGTTAGCCTTGTTAGTGTTAGCCTCGTTAGTGTTAGCCTCGTTAGTGTTAGCCTTGTTAGTGTTAGTGTTAGCCTCGTTAGTGTTAGCCTTGTTAGTGTTAGCCTCGTTAGTGTTAGCCTCGTTAGTGTTAGCCTTGTTAGTGTTAGCCTCGTTAGTGTTAGCCTTGTTAGTGTTAGCCTCGTTAGTGTTAGCCTCGTTAGTGTTAGCTTGTTAGTGTTAGCCTTGTTAGTGTTAGCTTGTTAGTGTTAGCCTTGTTAGTGTTAGCTTGTTAGTGTTAGCCTTGTTAGTGTTAGCCTTGTTAGTGTTAGCCTCGTTAGTGTTAGCCTTGTTAGTGTTAGCCTTAATGCAGAAGCCCATTGGAAGCTATTTCAGCTGGAGCCAATTTTCTTATATATGAAAATTGTTTATATTGCCTAAATTATTATTGGTTGGTTCTTTGGTCTCTCTCTGGTCTCTCTCTGGTCCCTCTCTGGTCTCTCTCTGGTCTCTCTCTGGTCTCTCTCTGGTCCCTCTGGTCTCTCTCTGGTCTCTCTCTGGTCTCTCTCTGGTCTCTCTCTGGTCTCTCTCTGGTCTCTCTCTGGTCTCTCTCTGGTCTCTCTCTGGTCTCTCTCTGGTCTCCCTCTGGTCTCTCTCTGGTCTCTCTCTGGTCCCTCTGGTCTCTCTCTGGTCTCTCTCTGGTCTCTCTCTGGTCTCTTTCTGGTCTCTCTCTGGTCTCTCTCTGGTCCCTCTGGTCTCTCTCTGGTCCCTCTGGTCTCTCTCTGGTCTCTCTCTGGTCTCTCTCTGGTCTCTCTCTGGTCCCTCTGGTCTCCCTCTGGTCTCTCTCTGGTCCCTCTGGTCTCTCTCTGGTCTCTCTCTGGTCCCTCTGGTCTCTCTCTGGTCTCTCTGGTCTCTCTCTGGTCTCTCTGGTCCCTCTGGTCTCTCTCTGGTCCCTCTGGTCTCTCTCTGGTCCCTCTGGTCTCTCTCTGGTCTCTCTCTGGTCCCTCTGGTCTCCTCTGGTCCCTCTGGTCTCCCTCTGGTCTCTCTCTGGTCCCTCTGGTCTCTCTCTGGTCCCTCTGGTCTCTCTCTGGCCTCTCTCTCTGGTCTCTCTGGTCTCTCTCTGGTCCCTCTGGTCTCTCTCTGGTCTCTCTCTGGTCTCTCTCTGGTCTCTCTCTGGTCTCTCTCTGGTCCCTCTGGTCTCTCTCTGGTCTCTCTGGTCTCTCTCTGGTCTCTCTCTCTGGTCCCTCTGGTCTCTCTCTGGTCCCTCTGGTCTCTCTCTCTGGTCCCTCTGGTCTCTCTCTGGTCCCTCTGGTCTCTCTCTGGTCTCTCTCTGGTCTCTCTCTGGTCCCTCTGGTCTCTCTCTGGTCTCTCTCTGGTCTCTCTCTGGTCCCTCTGGTCTCTCTCTGGTCTCTCTCTGGTCTCTCTCTGGTCTCTCTCTGGTCTCTCTCTGGTCTCTCTCTGGTCTCTCTCTGGTCTCCCTCTGGTCTCTCTCTGGTCTCTCTCTGGTCTCTCTCTGGTCTCTCTCTGGTCTCTCTCTGGTCTCTCTCTGGTCTCTCTCTGGTCTCTCTCTGGTCTCTCTCTGGTCTCTCTCTGGTCTCTCTCTGGTCTCCCTCTGGTCTCTCTCTGGTCTCTCTCTGGTCCCTCTGGTCTCTCTCTGGTCTCTCTCTGGTCTCTCTCTGGTCTCTTTCTGGTCTCTCTCTGGTCTCTCTCTGGTCCCTCTGGTCTCTCTCTGGTCCCTCTGGTCTCTCTCTGGTCTCTCTCTGGTCTCTCTCTGGTCTCTCTCTGGTCCCTCTGGTCTCCCTCTGGTCTCTCTCTGGTCCCTCTGGTCTCTCTCTGGTCTCTCTCTGGTCCCTCTGGTCTCTCTCTGGTCTCTCTGGTCTCTCTCTGGTCTCTCTGGTCCCTCTGGTCTCTCTCTGGTCCCTCTGGTCTCTCTCTGGTCCCTCTGGTCTCTCTCTGGTCTCTCTCCCTGGTCTCTCTCTGGCCTCTCTCTCTGGTCTCTCTCTCTGGTCTCTCTCTGGTCCCTCTGGTCTCTCTCTGGTCTCTCTCTGGTCTCTCTCTGGTCTCTCTCTGGTCTCTCTCTGGTCCCTCTGGTCTCTCTCTGGTCTCTCTGGTCTCTCTCTGGTCTCTCTCTCTGGTCCCTCTGGTCTCTCTCTGGTCCCTCTGGTCTCTCTCTCTGGTCCCTCTGGTCTCTCTCTGGTCCCTCTGGTCTCTCTCTGGTCTCTCTCTGGTCTCTCTCTGGTCCCTCTGGTCTCTCTCTGGTCCCCTGGTCTCTCTCTGGTCCCTCTGGTCTCTCTCTGGTCTCTCTGGTCCCTCTGGTCTCTCTCTGGTCTCTCTCTGGTCTCTCTGGTCTCTCTCTGGTCTCTCTCTGGTCTCTCTCTGGTCTCTCTGGTCTCTCTCTGGTCCCTCTGGTCTCTCTCTGGTCTCTCTCTGGTCCCTCTGGTCTCTCTCTGGTCCCTCTGGTCTCTCTCTGGTCCCTCTGGTCTCTCTCTGGTCTCTCTCTGGTCCCTCTGGTCTCTCTCTGGTCTCTCTGGTCTCTCTCTGGTCCCTCTGGTCTCTCTCTGGTCTCTCTGGTCTCCCTCTGGTCTCTCTGTAGTCCACCTAAAGCTGGGGTATGTAACTTCCACTCCACAACAACAGACCTGTGTATCTCTGGCTCTAAAACATTCATCAATAGTTTTCACATCATTTGTTTCTGTCTCTTTCTTAGATCAGTTTTTAACAGAATCAGGTCAAATGTTTATGAGACGGAGAAATACATGTTTACATCTGAACATAAACAGTCCATGATCTGAACAGAAGCAAAAGAAGAGAAACATGTATGATATTATAGATCAAAGGATTCTGCTCTGTGCACGTGAGCACAGACAGCTCATCACTGCCCCCTGCTGACAGAAAGGAGACCTGTGGGAGAGGAGAGGGGAGGAGGGGGAGAGGGGAAGGGAGAGGAGAGGAGAGGGGAGGAGGGGGGAGGAGGGGGAGAGGGGAAGGGAGAGGAGAGGAGAGGGAGAGGGGAAGGGAGAGGGGAGGAGAGGGGAGGAGGGGGGAGGAGGGGGAGAGGGGAAGGGAGAGGAGAGGGAGAGGGGAAGGGAGAGGGGAGGAGAGGGGAGGAGGGGGAGAGGGGAAGGGAGAGGGGAGGAGGGGGAGAGGGGAAGGGAGGGGAGAGGGGAGAGGAGAGGAGGGGGAGAGGGGAAGGGAGAGGAGAGGGAGAGGGGAAGGGAGAGGGGAGGAGAGGGGAGGAGGGGAGAGGAGGGGGAGAGGAGAGGAGAGGAGAGGAGAGGGAGAGGGGAAGGGAGAGGGGAGGAGAGGGGAGGAGGGGGAGAGGGGAAGGGGAGAGGGGAGGAGAGGGGAGGAGGGGGAGAGGGGAAGGGAGGGGAGAGGGGAGAGGAGAGGAGGGGGAGAGGGGAAGGGAGAGGAGAGGGAGAGGGGAAGGGAGAGGGGAGGAGAGGGGAGGAGGGGGAGAGGGGAAGGGAGGGGAGAGGGGAGAGGAGAGGAGAGGGAGAGGGGAAGGGAGAGGAGAGGAGAGGGAGAGGGGAAGGGAGAGGGGAGGAGAGGGGAGGAGGGGGAGAGGGGAAGGGAGGGGAGAGGGGAGAGGAGAGGAGAGGAGGGGGAGAGGAGGGGGGAGGAGGGGGAGAGGGGAAGGGAGAGGAGAGGAGAGGGAGAGGGGAAGGGAGAGGAGAGGAGAGGGGAAGGGAGAGGAGAGGGAGGAGGGAGGAGGGAGGAGGGAGGAGGGAGGAAGGGGGACATCTTATTCTTGTCTGAAAGTCTTTATCATTGTTGTTGAAGTTGAAACTCAAAAATAAATTAACATTTGAACAAGATTCTAGTTTTGTGTTTTAAAATACATGCATTTGTCCAGAGAGTCTTTCTGCTGTCTCTCTTTCTGCTCTCTCTCTTTCTGCTCTCTCTCTTTCTGCTCTCTCTCTTTCTGCTCTCTCTCTTTCTGCTCTCTCTCTTTCTGCTCTCTCTCTTCTCTTCTTCTCTCATTTGTTTGTAAAAATGAACTCTCTTCTGAACAGAGTCAGACGTTTCAGACCCCGGTCTCTGTCGGTCCAAACCTCACAGTTCCTTCAGAATGAGCAGTTCTTCTAAACCAGCTAACGTTAGCTTAGCGCTCCCTCCAGCCCTGCGGATGTGTTTGCCCCCGCTCTAACCCTGGACCCAAACCAGAGCCACATGGTGCGAAGGCCTGACCCTCCCCCCCCTTCTCCTGGACCCCACCACCCTCCCCCGCTCCCCCCTGGACCCCTGATTGTTCTACAGCTTAAGTGTTTTGTCTGTGGCCCTGTCCCCCGCTGAGAGACCTCTCCTCGCACCCCGAGACCCTGAGCAAGACCTGGGGAAGTGTCAGCTCAATGAAGCCCAAGAGGGAAGTGCTCATGGATGGGGTTTTGCTCCTGGTGACTTGAAACCTGTGGACTAGTGCTGTCTGTGGTCCTGGTGTTTATGTGATGTGGTCTTTTATTCAGATATGACCCAAATATGGATTGACCAATCAGAGGCCTTCATTTGCAGTTAAACTCCAGATCTTGTTAAAGAAGATTTGCAGAGTTTGTATTTTCCGCTCGACCATCTGCGACGGCCGCTGAGTTCAGCTTCAACTATAGTTTTTTTCACAGAGTCACTATCGGTCTCTTTGGGCTGAGAGGTGATTGGCTGAGAACTGATTGGCTAGAGCTGATTGGCTTTGAGCTGATTGGCTGTGAGGTGATTGGCTGAGAACTGATTGGCTAGAGCTGATTGGCTTTGAGCTGATTGGCTGTGAGTTGATTGGCTAGAGCTGATTGGCTAGAGCTGATTGGCTGTGAGTTGATTGGCTGTGAGCTGATTGGCTGAGAGCTGTTTGGCTAGAGCTGATTGGCTAGAGCTGATTGGCTGTGAGCTGATTGGCTGAGAGCTGTTTGGCTAGAGCTGTTTGGCTAGAGCTGATTGGCTGTGAGCTGATTGGCTGTGAGCTGATTGGCTGTGAGCTGATTGGCTGTGAGCTGATTGGCTGTGAGCTGATTGGCTGTGAGCTGATTGGCTGTGAGCTGATTGGCTGTGAGCTGATTGGCTGCGAGCTGATTGGCTGTGAGCTGATTGGCTGATGTGACAGAGACACAAATACAGGATGTAAAAACAAAAAAATTAGTGATAGAAACAACTGTGATGGAGTTTTATTGTTAGCTGTCACAGACTGTGTGTGTGTGTGTGTGTCTCTGTGTGTGTGTGTGTGAGTGTGTGCGTGTGTGAGTATGTCTCTGTGTGTGTGTGTCTCTCTGTGTATGTGTCTATGTGTGTGTGTGTGTGTGAGTGTGTGTGTGTTTGTGTCTCTGTATGTATCTATGTGTGTGAGTGTGTCTGTGTGTGTGTGTGTGTGTGTGTGAGTGTGTGTGAGTGTGTGTGTGTGTGTCTCTGTGTGTGTCTATGTGTGTGAGCGTGTCTGTGTCTATGTGTGTGTGTGTGTGTGTGTGTGCATATTTACTTAGCCAGGAGTTATCCAGCCCGGCCTGAGCTCCAACGGACTACAGGAGATAGTTTCTGATCCACGCCCCGGATATTTGCCTCGCGCACAGATCTTATCTACAGGAAACACTTTTGGTTTTATTGACACAACTTTAAAGAAGAAATGTTATGTCACATTTAAGGTCCGCCTGTAACTCTCTCAGCTGCCACCAGAGGGAGCAGCTGAGGATGTAGACCCAGGACTGAGGCTGTAGATCCAGGACTGAGGCTGTAGACCCAGGACTGAGGCTGTAGACCCAGGACTGAGGCTGTAGACCCAGGACTGAGGCTGTAGACCCAGGACTGAGGCTGTAGACCCAGGACTGAGGCTGTAGACCCAGGACTGAGGCTGTAGATCCAGGACTGAGGCTGTAGATCCAGGACTGAGGCTGTAGATCCAGGACTGAGGCTGTAGACCCAGGACTGAGGCTGTAGACCCAGGACTGAGGCTGTAGACCCAGGACTGAGGCTGTAGACCCAGGACTGAGGCTGTAGATCCAGGACTGAGGCTGTAGACCCAGGACTGAGGCTGTAGACCCATGACTGAGGCTGTAGACCCATGACTGAGGCTGTAGACCCATGACTGAGGCTGTAGACCCAGGACTGAGGCTGTAGACCCAGGCTGTGTCGCCCTCTGGTGGCAGCAGAGGGAGTTACAGGATAAATGCATTTTTTTTTTACCCTTCACTCTTTAAACTCATTTGTTTAGTCCTGAGGATATGATCTAACGTTCTGAAACAGTAAATACAGTAAATAGTCTCAGTAGAATTATTATTGGTCAAAAATAACACTAATATTTATTCTTTTAAGTCGACTCTAAAGACTTCCCTCTGAGGTTGGGGGTCAGATCCCGGGGTCAGTCTGCATCAGTGAGAATGAGGCCGGTTCAAGTGCACAGGGCACACACACACACACACGCACACCACACACTCACACACACACACACTCACACAGACACACACACCACACACTCACACACACACACAAACTCACACATACACACACCACACACAAACTCACACATACACATACACACACCACACACACACACACACACACACACACCACACACTCACACACACACAAACTCACACACACACACACACACATACAGACACACACACCACACTCACACACACACAAACTCATACACACACACACACACACTCACACACACACACACAAACTCATACACACACACACACACAAACAGACACACACACCACACACACTCACACATACACCACACACACACACACACACACACACACCACACACTCACACACACACACAAACTCACACACACACACACACACACACACACACACACACAAACTCATACACACACACACACTCACACACACACCACACACACACAGACACACACACACACACACAGCATCCTCACTTTCATGTTTGACACAGGACCTCTCCGCTGGGGGTCGGCTCCTTGTTCTGTTCACAGGGGGGGGGGGGGGGGGGGCGGGGCGGGGGTGGATGGGGGTCATCCACTCGGGCTGGGGGGGCATCATGGGACCACACTGACACTGGGTCAACGTTAGCGTCAGACGGATGAGGAAGTTACCAACGACATGTCAAACTTCATTTCCCAAGTAATAAAGGGTTATATTCCAGTAGCTGTGTTCTCTCTTTAGCTCGTGCAGCAACCCTCCTGCTCCCCACCAAGACAATCACTCCACATTCAACATTTCTTTAACCCTAACCCTAACCCGGTTCTAGTGGCAAGAGCCCTGGTGTGTGCCGTCCTCTCTGTCTGCTGCACACTGGGGAGTCTTGCACAGTTTTTCCAATGTGGTTTTACTGCAAATGGCAAATAAATGAATCTGAATCTAAACTGTGTCAGAGACAGACCAACCTCAGACCTGTATAGAAAGTGTCCTGCTTTGGCTTTGATAATTACCTCTGCTGTGTAATGATCTAATTCATGTGTAATTATCTATTTTCATGTGTAATTATCTATTTTCATGTGTAATGATCTAATTCATGTGTAATTATCTATTTTCATGTGTAATGATCTAATTCATGTGTAATTATCTATTTTCATGTGTAATGATCTAATTCATAAATAACATCCATAATACTTTAGAGATGTCATGACACTCATCATTCTAACGAGGCAGTACTTTTCCACAGCATGTTTTGATTTCTGAAGGCCAAAGCTACTGACATCGCGTTGAAAGCTGATTGGACGGTGTTCATTCCTCCGCTGTGTATTATCACTTGTAGTCTGTAATATCTTTGTTCTGTCTTTACCATCGACAATAAAACATGTCTTCTAAAAACATGCACAATAGGTCTGAATGTAAATGAGAGAGTGAATGGATGGTGTTGGAGCTGATGGTCCAGTGTGTTCTGGACACGCTTCTGTCATCACCGTGTGTGGAAGGATTGGAACAATATCTGACTCTGAACATTGTAGTGCTTTGGGTCTGTACCTTGGTCTGTAAAATGCGCCATGTAAATAAACATTACTTACTCACTTAGTTCTGTCTGAATTAAAGACACAATCCCAGACTTTGTCGTCTTCTTCAATACTGCACACAGATGGACAGGTGAGAGCACCTGCCCCAGGGCAGCCGTGGCTACAGCAGCAGGTCCAGGAGGAAGTGTGAGTGAAAAGCTTCTTTGTGACTCACAAAGTGCACTGTACAAACACACCGCAGCTCTTCATGTCCTTATATGGGCTTCCTTCCTCTGTCAATCTCCAACTGATATCACAGTCATACTCTCAGTCTCCAGAGCAGAAATATGGTGTGATTTATTTAAACAGGAAAACTGAACATTCAGTTCCACTACATTTATTTGTGTATATACCTAAATCATACCTGCTGTCAATCAACAAATCAGAGAATCAAACAGATCAAACACAGGTAATACAGTCAGGAGTCTTTGGTCCACAGGGAGCGGGACCACTGTCCAATGTCCCAGGACTGAGGCTGTAGACCCAGGACTGAGGCTGTAGACCCAGGACACGCACACACATACGCACACACGCACACACACACACACACACACACACACACACACACACACACACACACACACACACACACACACACACACACACACACACACACACACACACACACACACACACACACACACACACACACACACACACACACACACACACACACACACACACACACACACACACACACACATATACACACACACACACACACACACACACACAAAGGAATTTCATTCATGAGGCTGGAGCAACAGGCCAAGACTCTGGCGGAAGGCAACAGTGACGTCTGCTGGACATAGAGGGTACTGCAGGCTGCAGCGGTAAAGATAAGATAAGAATTCCTTTATTCGTCCCACAGTGGGGAAATGTCGATGTTGCATCGCACATATAGGACAGTAGTAAGAGCACACAGGGAGCACACACAATATACTGTATACAAATAAGTAGTAGCTATGTTTCTTAGCTAACATAACTATCTGCAGATGCTGAAAATGCTTCAATACCAGTCAAAATATATATGTAGTAGTGCAGAGTTATATACTGTACAGTTAAATAGTGCAGGACGATAAGTAGATAAGTAAAGTGACATGAGGTAAAGTGACATTGTTCTGTGACATCCTAAAGTTGCAGTATTGCACATTGCACATGATTTAAGCATTTACTTATTTACAGATGAATGAATGAAATTTACAGGCTCAGCAGTTCTTATTGTACAGTCTGACAGCAGCAGGAAGGAAAGACCTACGGAACCTCTCCTTCATACAGCGAGGGTGAATTAGTCTGTCACTGAAGCTGCTCTCCAGAGCAGAGAGAGTGTCCTGCAGGGGGCGACAGTCATGGTCCAGATGTTAGTTTTTCCAGGACCCTCCTGTCCCCCACCTGCTGCACTGTGTCCAAGGAACAGCTCAGGACTGAGCTGGACTTCCTGATGTTCCAGCTTCTTCCTGTCCCTCTCTGTGATGCTGCTGTTCCAGCAGACCACACCGTACAAGAGGCTCCACCACAGAGTCATAGAAGGTCTTCAGGAGTGGCCCCTGCACTCCAAAAGACCTGAGCCTCCTCAGCAGGTAGAGCCGGCTCTGGCCCTTCTTGAAGAGGGCGTCTGTGTTATGAGTCTAGTCCAGTTTGTGGTTCAGATGAACACCCAGGTACTTGTAAGAGTCCACTCTCTCAATGTCCTTTCCCTGGATGTTCACTGGAGCTGGAGCGGCAGAGTGACGTCTGCGGAAATCCACCACCATCTCCATAGTCTTCCCCGCGTTGATGAGGAGGTGGTTCATCTCCTTAGTCTTCCTCACGTTGATGAGGAGGTGGTTCCGCTGGCACCAGTCCACAAAGTTCTGTATAACACCTGTCCAAACCATAGACTGTAAAAAAGAATGGACGTAGTCACGCCTATCTCCGCCGTTCTAACTAACGGGCCAAAAAATGTGCTCTACTGGAGCTATCCAAAATGGCCGCGAGTGGTCCCGCCCACAAGAAAATTGTGAAAAAACGCATCTGCGCATGCGTCAGCCGGAGAGAGCTCCATTCATTTGAACGAGAGACTTCAAAAATTCACAGCAAGTAAACTAGAGTGGACCAAAAAAATCCACCCCCCTCAGCATTGACACACATGTGGAACGGAGCTTTGGGCCAAGAGCCAACTTTTGGACCATCCTGTAAAGACGTTTTTGAGAGGTCTGCCAATGCTATATGTTAGCATTGGCTAATTCTTATTCTGGGTCCACCCCCATCGGCCCGGGGTGGTATTGCAGCATGTCAGCGCTCGTCATTTTGACCACTTTTGAGCCGGGACCCGCCCCCACTGGTCCAAACTGGAGAATGTGAAACATTTATATAGTTAACCGGTGTTTACTCAGATGTTTATAAGAGTCAATGGCTCTCAGTCACGTGACCAAAGGTCGTGGGCACCATACTGAGGGGAGCAGCTGTCAATCAAGCCGTCAGTGCAGTCAGCTGCTTTTTTTTTTCAGCTGTTTTACTTTAGAATGCTCTGGAAACAGAGAGGATTCATGGTTTTACAATGGTCCAGAACAGAGCAGAGAGGATTCATGGTCCGAACCAAGTGGATCAGGAAAAAATCCACTGGAGGAATGCTAACTTTATGAAAAATGCTAATGAAGCAATTAGCATTTTATTTTGGACCAGAGCAGAGGTTCTGCTGCTGAAGGACTGTTTATTATTACTGTTAACTTTTTTATAATTATTTACAGTGCCTTGCGAAAGTATTCTGCCCCCCTTGAACCTTTCAACATTTCGCCACATTTTAGTCTTCAAACATAAAGATATAAAAATTTAATTTTTTGTCATGAATCAACAACAAGTGGGACACAATCGTGAAGTGGAACAAAATTTATTGGATAATTTAAACTTTTTTAACAAATAAAAAACTGAAAAGTGGGGCGTACAATATTATTGGGCCCCTTTACTTTCAGTGCAGCAAACTCAGTCCAGAAGTTCAGTGAGGATCTTTGAAGGATCCAATGTTGTCCTAAATGACTGATGATGATAAATAGAATGCACCTGTGTGTAATCAAGTCTCCGTATAAATGCACCTGCTCTTTGATAGTCTCAGCGTTCTGTTTAAAGTGCAGAGAGAACCATGAAGACAAAGGAACACACCAGGCAGGTCCGAGATACTGTTGTGGAGAAGTTTAAAGCCGGATTTGGATACAAAAAGATTTCCCAAGCTTTAAACATCTCAAGGAGCACTGTGCAAGCAATTATATTGAAATGGAAGGAGTATCAGACCACTGCAAATCTACCAAGACCCGGCCGTCCCTCCAAACTTTCATCTCAAACAAGGAGAAGACTGATCAAAGATGCAGTCAAGAGGCCCATGATCACTCTGGATGAACTGCAGATAACTACAGCTGAGGTGGGAGAGTCTGTCCATAGGACAACAATCAGTCGTGCACTGCATAAATCTGGCCTTTATGGAAGAGTGGCAAGAAGAAAGCCATTTCTCAAAGATATCCATAAAAAGTCTCTTAAAGTTTGCCACAAGCCACCTGGGAGACACACCAAACATGTGGAAGAAGGTGCTCTGGTCAGATGAAACCAAAATCAAACTTTTTGGCCACAATGCAAAACGATATGTTTGGCGTAAAAGCAACACAGCTCATCACCCTGAACACACCATCCCCACCTCAGCTGTAGTTATCTGCAGTTCATCCAGAGTGATCATGGGCCTCTTGGCTGCATCTCTGATCAGTCTTCTCCTTGTTTGAGATGAAAGTTTGGAGGGACGGCCGGGTCTTGGTAGATTTGCAGTGGTCTGATACTCCTTCCATTTCAATATAATTGCTTGCACAGTGCTCCTTGAGTTGTTTAACGCTTGGGAAATCTTTTTGTATCCAAATCCGGCTTTAAACTTCTCCACAACAGTATCTCGGACCTGCCTGGTGTGTTCCTTTGTCTTCATGGTTCTCTCTGTGCTTTAAACAGAACCCTGAGACTATCAAAGAGCAGGTGCATTTATACGGAGACTTGATTACACACAGGTGCATTATATTTATCATCATCAGTCATTTAGGACAACATTGGATCATTCAAAGATCCTCACTGAACTTCTGGACTGAGTTTGCTGCACTGAAAGTAAAGGGGCCGAATAATATTGCACGCCCCACTTTTCAGTTTTTTATTTGTTAAAAAAGTTTAAATCATCCAATAAATTTTGTTCCACTTCACGATTGTGTCCCACTTGTTGTTGATTCATGACAAAAAATTAAAACTTTATATCTTTATGTTTGAAGCCTGAAATGTGGCAAAATGTTGAAAGGTTCAAGGGGGCCGAATACTTTCGCAAGGCACTGTATATTTTTGTTTGGACGGATGTGTTTCTGCTGCTACTGGACATAACAAAATCTGAATTGGTTGTTCAACTCGGGTTTGGGTAAACTGAAAGTGTGAAACATGAAATGTTTTCCTTTGTATCATTCTTATTCAGGAAGTCAATGAGACTCATGGCTTATTTTTTACCCTGTTGCCTTGGCAATGACAAACACTCCCCATTCTGTGTCAAAGGGAAAAATGTTCATTTTGTACATTTCAAAATCTCTGAAATGTACACCTCACTTAAACAACAAACCAGTCCCGGCCATTTCAAGGATTTAGCTGAAATACGCTCCACATCTTCTAAACACATGTGGGATCAAAAGTTAGCAACAGAATCATAAATAGTTAAACGATCGGGAGCGCAGCAGTCACATGTTTGGGTTATTTCTGCAGAGACTCATGCATGTTCCAATGTTAATCAATAGAGACATAATCACTATGCTCCTGTCAGGGATGTGGGAATACCTCTTTTGTGTGGTGCGAAGAGGGTCGTGCGACGCCGCTTGCAGCTTTAATTATTATTATTATTTTTAACATTATGATTATTATTGTTATTATTATTAGTATTAGCAGTAGTAGTAGTTTTAGTCATTATTATTATATTTGGAGTCGGCAGGTTGCGCACGCAGCCTGCTCTCTCTGCAGAGGACCCGGATGCGGAAGTTGTGTGTGTTGTTGTTGCTCATGGAGGCTTGCGGTTGTGTGCTTTTGTGTTTTGTGGAGCGCGGTTGTGTTCGCATGTTCCCCGGACCACAGGGCTCCGGAGGCGGCCACGACTGCACGCGAGGAGCGCTGTGAGGGAGCGGGTGTGGAGGCCAAGAGGTCTGAGCTAAAGCTAATGCTAAAGGTAAAGCTAATGCTAACCCTGATGTGAGGCTTTTTGAAGACATTGCACAGTATTCTCAGCTGTGTAGTGTGGTTACTATGGAGACGCTGCTACGGCCGTTAACGCCGAGCTACGTCACTTTCTCTCGTGTCCTGCTTTTTTCTTGAATCTCCAACAATTATGATAATTGTGGTGCTTATTCCAGTTAACTTATCTCCAGTGAACATTATTAGGATCGTGATGATCAGAATGGATCGATTTTAAGCGTGTCCATGGTAACCAGCCATGTTGTGGGAGAGCAAAGATATTTAAGCTACGACTTCACAGTTTCTAATTGATCTAAAGGAAAAGGTGTTCTCTTTGGAAGCAAGTAAGTTATGTTTATTTATATAGCACATTTTTACATATCAAGGTCTCCCTAAGCTCTTTAACCCTTGGTCTCTCTCTGGTCTCTCTCTGGTCTCTCTCCGGTCTCTCTCTGGTCTCTCTCTTTGGTCTCTCTCTGGTCTCTCTCTTTGGTCTCTCTCTGGTCTCTCTCTCAGGTCTCTCTCTGGTCTCTCTCCGGTCTCTCTCTGGTCTCTCTCTGGTCTCTCTCTTTGGTCTCTCTCTGGTCTCTCTCTCTGGTCTCTCTCTCTGGTCTCTCTCTCTGGTCTCTCTCTTTGGTCTCTCTCTGGTCTCTCTCTCAGGTCTCTCTCTGGTCTCTCTCCGGTCTCTCTCTGGTCTCTCTCTGGTCTCTCTCTCTGGTCTCTCTCTGGTCTCTCTCTCTGGTCTCTCTCTCTGGTCTCTCTCTGGTCTCTCTCTCTGGTCTCTCTCTGGTCTCTCTCTGGTCTCTCTCTGGTCTCTCTCCAGTCTCTCTCTCTGGTCTCTCTCTCTGGTCTCTCTCTCTGGTCTCTCTCTCTGGTCTCGCTCTCTGGTCTCTCTCTCTGGTCTCTCTCTCCGGTCTCTCTCTCCGGTCTCTCTCTGGTCTCTCTCTGGTCTCTCTCTCTGGTCTCCCTCTGGTCTCTCTCTGGTCTCTCTCCAGTCTCTCTCTCCGGTCTCTCTCCGGTCTCTCTCTCCGGTCTCTCTCTGGTCTCTCTCTGGTCTCTCTCTGGTCTCTCTCTTTGGTCTCTCTCTGGTCTCTCTCTCTGGTCTCTCTCTCTGGTCTCGCTCTCTGGTCTCTCTCTCTGGTCTCTCTCTCTGGTCTCTCTCTGGTCTCTCTCCGGTCTCTCTCCGGTCTCTCTCTCCGGTCTCTCTCTCTGGTCTCTCTCCGGTCTCTCTCTCCGGTCTCTCTCTGGTCTCTCTCTGGTCTCTCTCTGGTCTCTCTCTGGTCTCTCTCTTTGGTCTCTCTCTGGTCTCTCTCTCTGGTCTCTCTCTCTGGTCTCTCTCTCTGGTCTCGCTCTCTGGTCTCGCTCTCTGGTCTCGCTCTGGTCTCTCTCTCTGGTCTCTCTCTCTGGTCTCTCTCTCTGGTCTCTCTCTCTGGTCTCTCTCTCTGGTCTCTCTCTCTGGTCTCTCTCTCTGGTCTCTCTCTCTGGTCTCTCTCTCTGGTCTTTCTCTGGTCTTTCTCTGGTCTTTCTCTGGTCTTTCTCTGGTCTCTCTCTCTGGTCTCTCTCTCTGGTCTCTCTCTGGTCTTTCTCTGGTCTTTCTCTGGTCTTTCTCTGGTCTCTCTCTCTGGTCTCTCTCTCTGGTCTCTCTTTCTGTTCCCTCTCACTGTTCCGGAGCCAACAGCCGTCACTGTGATTGTGTAACTAAATGATTTGTGTTAATGGTTTTGTGTTGTTGTTGTTGTTGTGTTTGCAGAATTCAAAATGGCGGCGACTGCGGAGGCAAAGAAGGAAGACGCGGACTACAAGCGGCTGCACAACTTTCCTCTGATTCGAGTGAGTCACAGACATGGATCTATAATAATAACTGGATAGGGTATTACTAGCTTACAGCTGTCCCACCCAAGGACACAGGGGGCGCCCGTGGTACTGCAGACTAAATTCACGAGGGCTACCACCGTTCTGATCAGCAGCTCTGATTGGTCAAAGCGCGGCCCAGCCCCTCTGTGCACGTGCATGAAAGCCACACACGCGTATTTGGCGCAGAGCATCATGGGAGCTCGTCCACTGCACAGAACCGGGAGGACCAGACGATGCCCAAATATGGGCGAGTTCTGCTAATCTCCCGGTCTCCATGAAGTCCCATGATCTACTGAGCACAAGCCGTTCATTTGAATAGGACGCCATCTTGGATCACCAGGGCTTGGTCACAGACGACAGCTTTTCTTTAGTTGTTGTGTTTTACAATATCAGCCGTTTCATTATGACCCTGTGCCACAGCTGCACATACAGACGCCACATGCACTGTTCACATGGACGTCTGTATTTGATCAAACTAAACACATTATTACCCACCCACATAGTTTGTCCACTTCCTGACAGCTGACAGGAAGTGGGCTTCTGATTGGCTGCTGCTGTGGAGAGAGAGCAAGGGACCAGAGCCCTCCGGTCCCCAGTCCCCTTTGTCCTCAGTCTCTGTCCTCTCTGACCTGCAGCACACAGACATGTCCCTGGTCCTCAGTCCTGGTCCTCAGTCCTGGTCCTCAGTCCTCAGATACGATACACGATACAAAGCTCGAACGATTATATAACATTTATATAACGATATGACGATTATCGATATATTGGTCAGCAATATGCCAATATATGGCATACATATTTTTATGTTTATTCTTTATTTTTATTATCTCTTTCTGACTGTTGCACTGAGCCAAAGCAATTTCCAAGTCTGTGACTTCCTGTTACTTACGTGGCAATAAAAATGATTCTGATCTGATTCTGAAGTGAAAAAATACACTTTATTTCATGATAAATAGAATGGTGATGTGTAATGTAGCCATATATTAAGTATTGATACTAATACTAAATAAAAATAATAATAAAAAAATAAAAAACATTATTATTATTATTTTTTTTTTCCAAAATCGATACTTGGCAAATGCATATCGATAATTGATCGTGGGAGAAAGTATCGCGATATATCAAAAAATCGATATATCGTGACACTACTAGTCCTCAGACTCTGTCCTCTCTGACCTGCAGCACACAGACATGCCTGAGGAGATGCGGGTGGAGACCATGGAGCTCTGTGTCACGGCCTGCGAGAAGTTTGCCACCAACAACGAAGTGAGAGGCTCAGAAACCCTCACACACAACACATAACAACAACACAACAGACAACACAACAACACACACAACGCTTAACAACAACACACACAACACAACACATACAAAACACAACAGACAACACAACAACACACACACAACACAACGCATAAGAACAACACACACAACACAACGCATGACAACAACACACACAACACAACACACAACAAACATTTAGGCACAATCAAATCAGGCTGTTTTCTAAACCGGATTTAGCTGTAGGGAAGAAGGGACATCAGGGACAAAACATACATAATCTCTGTCTCTCTGGTCTCTCTCTCTGGTCTGTCTCTGGTCTGTCTCTGGTCTGTCTCTGGTCTCTCTCTCTGGTCTCTCTCTCTGGTCTCTCTAGTCTCTCTAGTCTCTCTCTCTGGTCTCTCTCTAGTCTCTCTCTCTGGTCTCTCTAGTCTCTCTCTCTGGTCTCTCTAGTCTCTCTAATCTCTCTCTCTGGTCTCTCTCTAGTCTCTCTCTCTGGTCTCTCTGGTCTCTCTAGTCTCTTTCTCTGGCCTCTCTCTGGCCTCTCTCTGGCCTCTCTCTGGTCTCTCTCTGGTCTCTCTGGTCTCTCTGGTCTCTCTCTCTGGTCTCTCTGGTCTCTCTCTGGTCTCTCTCTCTGGTCTCTCTAGTCTCTCTCTCTGGCCTCTCTCTGGTCTCTCTCTGGTCTCTCTGGTCTTTCTCTCTGGTCTCTCTGGTCTCTCTGGTCTCTCTCTGGTCTCTCTCTCTGGTCTCTCTCTCTGGTCTCTCTCTGGTCTCTCTGGTCTCTCTCTGGTCTCTCTCTCTGGTCTCTCTCTGGTCTCTCTGGTCTCTCTCTGGTCTCTCTCTGGTCTCTCTGGTCTCTCTCTGGTCTCTCTCTCTGGTCTCTCTGGTCTCTCTCTGGTCTCTCTCTCTGGTCTCTCTCTGGTCTCTCTCTGGTCTCTCTCTGGTCTCTCTCTGGTCTCTCTCTCTGGTCTCTCTCTCTGGTCTCTCTCTGGTCTCTCTGGTCTCTCTCTCTGGTCTCTCTCTGGTCTCTCTGGTCTCTCTCTCTGGTCTCTCTCTCTGGTCTCTCTCTCTGGTCTCTCTCTGGTCTCTGGTCTCCCTCTGGTCTCTCTCTGGTCTCTCTCTGGTCTCTCTCTCTGGTCTCTCTCTGGTCTCTCTGGTCTCTCTCTGGTCTCTCTCTGGTCTCTCTCTCTGGTCTCTCTCTCTGGTCTCTCTCTGGTCTCTCTGGTCTCTCTCTGGTCTCTCTCTGGTCTCTCTGGTCTCTCTGGTCTCTCTCTCTGGTCTCTCTCTGGTCTCTCTGGTCTCCCTCTGGTCTCTCTCTGGTCTCTCTCTCTGGTCTCTCTCTGGTCTCTCTGGTCTCTCTCTCTGGTCTCTCTCTGGTCTCTCTGGTCTCTCTCTGGTCTCTCTCTGGTCTCTCTGGTCTCTCTCTGGTCTCTCTCTGGTCTCTCTCTGGTCTCTCTGGTCTCTCTCTGGTCTCTCTGGTCTCTCTCTCTGGTCTCTCTCTGGTCTCTCTGGTCTCTCTCTCTGGTCTCTCTCTGGTCTCTCTGGTCTCTCTCTGGTCTCTCTCTGGTCTCTCTGGTCTCTCTCTGGTCTCTCTGGTCTCTCTCTCTGGTGAGTGAATACATTTTTTGTGTTATTTCATATGAACACAACATTTACTCTGATTATTTTTGTCTATATTTTACAGACCTCTGCTTTCATGGTATTACATGAACAGCAGAGGTCGCCACTGAGTCACACACAGTCAGCACAGATGTGTACCTGTGATCCATAGTGACCATGTGTGCCTGTGATCCATAGTGACCATGTGTGCCTGTGATCCATAGTAACCATGTGTGCCTGTGATCCATAGTGACCATGTGTGCCTGTGATCCATAGTGACCATGTGTGCCTGTGATCCATAGTAACCATGTGTGCCTGTGATCCATAGTGACCATGTGTGCCTGTGATCCATAGTAACCATGTGTGCCTGTGATCCATAGTGACCATGTGTGCCTGTGATCCATAGTGACCATGTGTGCCTGTGATCCATAGTAACCATGTGTGCCTGTGATCCATAGTAACCATGTGTGCCTGTGATCCATAGTGACCATGTGTGCCTGTGATCCATAGTAACCATGTGTGCCTGTGATCCATAGTAACCATGTGTACCTGTGATCCATAGTAACCATGTGTACCTGTGATCCATAGTGACCCTGTGTACCTGTGATCCATAGTGACCATGTGTGCCTGTGATCCATAGTAACCATGTGTGCCTGTGATCCATAGTGACCCTGTGTACCTGTGATCCATAGTGACCATGTGTGCCTGTGATCCATAGTAACCATGTGTGCCTGTGATCCATAGTAACCATGTGTGCCTGTGATCCATAGTGACCATGTGTGCCTGTGATCCATAGTGACCATGTGTGCCTGTGATCCATAGTGACCATGTGTACCTGTGATCCATAGTAACCATGTGTACCTGTGATCCATAGTGACCCTGTGTACCTGTGATCCATAGTAACCGAGTGTACCTGTGATCCATAGTAACCGAGTGTACCTGTGATCCATAGTAACCATGTGTACCTGTGATCCATAGTGACCCTGTGTACCTGTGATCCATAGTAACCGAGTGTACCTGTGCTCCTCAGAGTGCGGCGAAGATGATCAAAGAGTCGATGGATAAGAAGTTTGGGAGTTCGTGGCACGTGGTGATCGGGGAAGGCTTCGGCTTCGAAGTCACGCACGAAGTCAAGAACCTGCTCTACATGTTCTTTGGAGGCAGCCTGGCCGTGTGCGTGTGGAAGTGCTCCTGATGGGCCAGGACAAGGAGCCCAGGACAAGGAGCCCAGGACCCGGAGCCCAGGACCCGGAGCCCAGGACAAGGAGCCCAGGACAAGGAGCCCAGGACCCGGAGCCCAGGACCCGGAGCCCAGGACCCGGAGCCCAGGACCCGGAGCCCAGGACCCGGACATGGCTCCTGTTGAACACAGACTGCTCTGGGCTCCACTGCACACTTTGTTTTGGTCTTAGATCTGGAGCTGGAAAGACAACAGCAGAGTCCTGGGTTTGGTTCACTTTAACTGGACTCAGTCTGGTTCACTTTAACTGGACTCAGTCTACCCTACCCAACCCAACCCAACCCTACCCAACCTAACTCTACCCTACTCTACTCTGCTGGTTACCAATGAATGTCAGATGGAATCCAAAAACAAAAGTAAATGAGATGTAGTAGAGTGAATGTGAGCTGAGCCGAGTGGAAACAGGACTTCAGTGACCAGTGGACTAATGTAAACAAGTGAACCAGAACCGGTCCAGTTAATGTGAACCGGACCAAGTGTGACCTAAGAAGAACTGAGTCAGAGCCCGTAACAAACACATGTTTATGTATTTGAAACACTCGTCTGGAAGCACAGGAAGTGAATGAATTAAACCCTGTTTTATTATTATTATTCCACCTGGATTAAAGCTGGGGTACCCATCTTTCATCAGACAGATATAAGAGCCGTGGGAGTCACTATCTGGCCTTTTGGGCTGAGAGCTCATTGGCTGACAATCTGTAGTCTTTCTCTGCTCTCTCTGGTCTCCCTCTGGTCTCCCTCTGGTCTCCCTCTGGTCTCTCTCTCTGGTCTCCAAATTATTGTTACATACACTTTTAAAGGAATGGGCACCAGAGAGGGAGACCAGAGAGGGAGACCAGAGAGGGAGACCAGAGAGGGAGACCAGAGAGGGAGACCAGAGAGGGAGACCAGAGAGGGAGACCAGAGAGGGAGACCAGAGAGGGAGACCAGAGAGGGAGACCAGAGAGGGAGACCAGAGAGGGAGACCAGAGAGGGAGACCAGAGAGGGAGACCAGAGAGGGAGACCAGAGAGGGAGACCAGAGAGGGAGACCAGGTGCATAAAATAGATAAACTTTTCTAATTGTTTGTTTTTTAAGAAAAGGTCCAAATTTCAAAGATTTTTGTTACTTTAAAGGTGTCAGTCTTTTTACGGTGTTTCAGGGTCAGTCCCACAGGCGTCAGTCCCACAGATGTCAGTACCACAGACTCTACACCATCTCAGTTTCAGACGTTTTAAGAACCGTCTCATCCTTATGTGTAAATGACAGTAAACTGTCGTCATGACGACACGTTGGACTCAGAGCCGTTCTTTTCTAAGTGACTTTTTACAAAATGTTCTGTTTTAATAAACACGACCTGGTTCTGATCCGTCTGTGACTGTGTCTTTAGTCACATTTTATTTTGATAGAACTTTCATAAACAAATGTGTTTGACTGTAGACTACACAGATGATCACAGAGCCAGACCCCCACACACGATCACAGAGCCAGACCCCCACACACGATCAGAGACAGACGATCACAGACCCCCACAGACGATCACAGAGCCAGATCCCCACACACGATCACAGAGCCAGACCCCCACACACGATCAGAGACAGACGATCACAGACCCCCACAGACGATCACAGAGCCAGACCCCCACAGACGATCACAGAGACAAACCCCCCACAGACGATCACAGAGACAGACCCCCTACAGACGATCACAGAGACAGACCCCCCACAGACGATCACAGAGATAGACCCCCCACAGACGATCACAAAGCCAGACCCCCACAGACGATCACAGAGACAGACCCCCCACAGACGATCACAGAGACAGACCCCCCACAGACGATCACAAAGACAGACCCCCCACAGACGATCACAGAGCCAGACCCCCACAGACGATCACAGAGACAGACCCCCACAGACGATCACAGAGCCAGACCCCCACAGACGATCACAGAGATAGACCCCCCACAGACAATCACAAAGACAGACCCCCCACAGACGATCACAGAGCCAGACCCCCACAGACGATCACAGAGCCAGACCCCCACAGACGATCACAGAGCCAGACCCCCACAGACGATCACAGAGCCAGACCCCCACAGACGATCACAGAGCCAGACCCCCACAGACGATCACAGAGACAGACCCCCCACAGACGATCACAAAGACAGACCCCCCACAGACGATCACAGAGACAGACCCCCCACAGACGATCACAGAGACAAACCCCCCACAGACGATCACAGAGCCAGACCCCCAGAGACGATCACAGAGACAGACCCCCCACAGACGATCACAAAGACAGACCCCCCACAGACAATCACAGAGCCAGATCCCCACAGACGATCACAGAGCCAGACCCCCCACAGACGATCACAGAGACAGACCCCCCACAGACAATCACAGAGACAGACCCCCCACAGACGATCACAAAGACAGACCCCCCACAGACGATCACAGAGCCAGACCCCCACAGACGATCACAGAGCCAGACCCCCACAGACGATCACAGAGCCAGATCCCCACAGACGATCACAGAGCCAGACCCCCCACAGACGATCACAGAGACAAACCCCCCACAGACGATCACAGAGACAGACCCCGCACAGACGATCACAAAGACAGACCCCCCACAGACGATCACAGAGCCAGACCCCCCACAGACGATCACAGAGCCAGATCCCCACAGACGATCACAGAGCCAGACCCCCCACAGACGATCACAGAGACAAACCCCCCACAGACGATCACAGAGACAGACCCCCCACAGACGATCACAGAGACAGACCCCCCACAGACGATCACAGAGCCAGACCCCCACAGACGATCACAGAGCCAGACCCCCACAGACGATCACAGAGCCAGACCCCCACAGACGATCACAGAGCCAGACCCCCACAGACGATCACAGAGCCAGACCCCCACAGACGATCACAGAGACAAACCCCCCACAGACGATCACAGAGCCAGACCCCCCACAGACGATCACAGAGCCAGATCCCCACAGACGATCACAGAGCCAGACCCCCCACAGACGATCACAGAGACAAACCCCCCACAGACGATCACAGAGACAGACCCCCCACAGACGATCACAGAGACAGACCCCCCACAGACGATCACAGAGCCAGATCCCCACAGACGATCACAAAGACAGACCCCCCACAGACGATCACAGAGACAGACCCCCCACAGACGATCACAGAGACAAACCCCCCACAGACGATCACAGAGCCAGACCCCCACAGACGATCACAGAGCCAGACCCCCACAGACGATCACAGAGCCAGACCCCCACAGACGATCACAGAGATAGACCCCCCACAGACGATCACAAAGACAGACCCCCCACAGACGATCACAGAGCCAGACCCCCACAGACGATCACAGAGCCAGACCCCCACAGACGATCACAGAGCCAGACCCCCACAGACGATCACAGAGATAGACCCCCCACAGACGATCACAAAGCCAGACCCCCACAGACGATCACAGAGCCAGACCCCCACAGACGATCACAGAGACAGACCCCCCACAGACGATCACAAAGACAGACCCCCCACAGACGATCACAGAGACAGACCCCCCACAGACGATCACAGAGACAAACCCCCTACAGACGATCACAGAGACAAACCCCCCACAGACGATCACAGAGACAGATCCCCACAGACGATCACAAAGCCAGACCCCCACAGACGATCACAGAGCCAGACCCCCACAGACGATCACAGAGACAGACCCCCCACAGACGATCACAAAGACAGACCCCCCACAGACGATCACAGAGCCAGACCCCCCACAGACGATCACAAAGACAGACCCCCCACAGACGATCACAGAGACAAACCCCCCACAGACGATCACAGAGCCAGACCCCCACAGACGATCACAGAGATAGACCCCCCACAGACGATCACAGAGCCAGACCCCCCACAGACGATCACAGAGCCAGACCCCCACAGACGATCACAAAGACAGACCCCCCACAGACGATCACAGAGCCAGACCCCCACAGACGATCACAGAGCCAGACCCCCACAGACGATCACAGAGCCAGACCCCCACAGACGATCACAGAGCCAGACCCCCACAGACGATCACAAAGACAGACCCCCCACAGACGATCACAGAGACAGACCCCCCACAGACGATCACAGAGACAGACCCCCCACAGACGATCACAGAGCCAGACCCCCCACAGACGATCACAAAGCCAGACCCCCACAGACGATCACAGAGCCAGACCCCCCACAGACGATCACAAAGACAGACCCCCCACAGACGATCACAGAGCCAGACCCCCACAGACGATCACAGAGCCAGACCCCCACAGACGATCACAGAGCCAGACCCCCACAGACGATCACAGAGCCAGATCCCCACAGACGATCACAGAGACAGACCCCCCACAGACGATCACAAAGACAGACCCCCCACAGACGATCACAGAGCCAGACCCCCACAGACGATCACAGAGCCAGACCCCCACAGACGATCACAGAGACAGACCCCCCACAGACGATCACAGAGACAGACCCCCACAGACGATCACAGAGCCAGACCCCCACAGACGATCACAGAGACAGACCCCCACAGACGATCACAGAGCCAGACCCCCACAGACGATCACAGAGCCAGACCCCCACAGACGATCACAGAGACAGACCCCTACAGACAATCCCAGACCCCCACAGACGAACACAGACGATCACACAGCCAGACCCCCACAGTCCATCCATAGACTGTAAATATTAACGGACATAGTCACACCTATCTCGGCCGTTCTAACTAATGTGAATGGCGGAAAAAGCAACGGGGGCTGGTAATTATGAAAATGCTACACGAGCCCCATTCATTAAATGAGTGCCTTCTAAAGTCCACAGCGACTAAACTAGACTGGTTCAAAACACTCCCCTCAGCATTGACACACATGTGGAACGGAGCTTTGGGCCAAGAGCCAACTTTTGGTCCATCCTGTAAAGACGTTTTCGAGAGGTAAGAAGATGCTATATGTTAGCATTGGCTAATTCTTATTCCGGTTCCACCCCCTCAGGCCCAGGGTGGTATTGCAGCATGTCAGCGCATGTCATTTTGGCCATTTTTCTAGCCGGGACACGCCCCCACTGAGTCCATCACAGACCCCCACAGTCAAGACACTTAACCCCACGTTGCCTGAAGCCCCCGCTGAAAGATCAAGGCTCCTGTGGACTCACCACCTACAGGAGGACCAGGAGGAGCAGTGAGGGGCTGGTGCTATGTGTACTGGGTGGTATCTCGGGCCATCACCCCGAAAACTCCCATCAGCGAACACAGACATGTGATTGTAAAGAAGAAGAAGTTACCAAAACTAATTCCTACTGAAGATATTATTTCACGTTCTAAAATATGAGTCAAAGTCTTAATATCATATCAGTGTGGTATGTTTGGATCCAGTCTTCTTGGGTCTGGGACACGGGGCCGGGACACGGGGCCGGGACACGGGGCTGGAGCTTGTGTCTGGTCTTAAGCCCGTGGGAACAATGAGCTCAAGACTCTGCATGCTTTAGCCTTTAGCTTGGTCAGCATGGATGAGATTAGCGGCTTGTTAGCGCATCGTTAGCATCCTGAGGCGGGTATATAAGACACGATGGAAACGCCGCGGCTTCATCGCAGAGAAACGGCAAAAAGAAAGAGTCAGGCACTCTTTGTTTTGCTCGTTCACTCACGGAGGCTAACAGCACTAGCATCGCAAAGCTAACAGCGAACACAGACCTCTGCAGGTACGGACAGTTATCTTCATAATGTGATAGGACTTCAGGACAGAGCCCTGAGACCAGGACTAATGTGATAGGACTTCAGGACAGAGCCCTGAGACCAGGACTAATGTGAGAGGACTTCAGGACAGAGACCTGAGACCAGGACTTATGTGAGAGGACTTCAGGACAGAGACCTGAGACCAGGACTAATGTGAGAGGACTTCAGGACTAATGGATCAATAATGCAACATAAGCTCGGAGTAGATCTGCTGCTCCGTTTCAAGAGGAGTCGGCTAAACTGGCGAGAGAAGATATCTGGACATCTCCCTGGGGAAGCATGAGACCAGCATGAAACCAGTATGAGACCAGTATGAGACCAGTATGAGACCAGCATGAGACCGGTATGAGACCAGTATGAGACCAGTATGAGACCAGTATGAGACCAGCATGAGACCGGTATGAGACCAGTATGAGACCAGCATGAGACCAGCATGAGACCAGTATGAGACCAGTATGAGACCAGTATGAGACCAGCATGAGAGCAACATGAGACCAGCATGAGACCAGCATGAGACCAGTATGAGACCAGCATGAGACCAGTCATGACTCATGTATCTGCAAGTGTCTTTCTGATCTTGTCTCTTCTTCTGGGACAGAGATGGAAACCAGTGCAGCTCCAGGAGAGACTAAAGCTGCTGCTCCTAAGTTTGACCAGAAGGAGGTGCGTCAGTACAAGAGCAAAGCACCTAAAGCCGGACACAAGAGGTCAGAGACTGTGTCCACTTTATTTATATAGAACATGACGCTCAAGCCAAAGCCTAGGTCTGTCTCTGGTCTCTCTCTGGTCTCTCTCTGGTCTGTCTCTGCTTTGTCTTTGGTCTCTATCTCTCTGGGCTCTCTCTGGTCTCTCTCTGGTCTCTCTCTGGTCTCTCTCTGGTCTCTCTCTCTCTGGTCTCTCTCTGGTCTCTCTCTGGTCTCTCTCTCTCTGGTCTCTCTCTGGTCTCTCTCTGGTCTCTCTCTCTCTGGTCTCTTTCTGGTCTCTTTCTGGTCTCTCTCTGGTCTCTCTCTGGTCTCTCTCTGGTCTCTCTCTCTCTGGTCTCTCTCTGGTCTCTCTCTGGTCTCTCTCTGGTCTCTCTCTGGTCTCTCTCTCTCTCTGGTCTCTCTCTGGTCTCTCTCTGGTCTCTCTCTGGTCTCTTTCTGGTCTCTTTCTGGTCTCTCTCTGGTCTCTCTCTGGTCTCTCTCTGGTCTCTCTGGCCTCTCTCTGGTCTCTTTCTGGTCCCTGGTTGTAACGTGTGTGTCATTGTGTTACAGATTTGATGATCTTCCCGGACTCGATGGTCTCGGAGGTAAGAGTTATGTGCACGGCAACCTTTAGCAGTTCATGCAAGGCGGACATGGAATTTACATAACTGGAGGCTTAGTCAGCTTTACCATTAGAGAGAGACCAGAGAGAGACCAGAGAGAGAGACCAGAGAGAGTCCAGAGAGAGTCCAGAGAGAGTCCAGAGAGAGACCAGAGAGAGTCCAGAGAGAGTCCAGAGAGAGACCAGAGAGAGTCCAGCGAGAGAGACCAGAGATAGACCAGAGATAGACCAGAGATAGAGACCAGAGAGAGACCAGAGAGAGTCCAGAGAGAGACCAGAGAGAGTACAGAGAGAGAGACCAGAGAGAGTCCAGAGAGAGTACAGAGAGAGACCAGAGAGAGAGACCAGAGAGAGAAAAGAGAGAGAGACCAGAGAGTCCAGAGAGAGAGACCAGAGATAGACCAGAGATAGAGACCAGAGAGAGTCCAGAGAGAGACCAGAGAGAGAGACCAGAGAGAGTCCAGAGAGAGACCAGAGAGAGAGACCAGAGAGAGTCCAGAGAGAGTCCAGAGAGAGACCAGAGAGAGAGACCAGAGAGAGAAAAGAGAGAGAAAAGAGAGAGAAAAGAGAGAGAGACCAGAGAGAGATTGTAGAACTTTCAGTTTCATGTGTTTGTAGTCTCACATTTTGATGTTTGAAGACATTAAAGGCTGTGAGACTAAAGTCAGGTCCCTGAGCTTTAATCCTTTCTCTTTGTTGCAGGAGCTGAGGTGGTGTGTCCCTGGGAGGCCTTTGGAGACGTGGAGCTCAGTGACCTGGCCCAGTTTGGCATCGTTTAGACCTGGTTCAGTCCCGTTTTAGACCCGGTTTAGACATGGCTTAGAACTGGTTTAGTCCCAGTTTAGACCTTGTTTTAGATCCAGTTTATATCTGGTTTAGACCCTGTTTAGACGTGGCTTGGACCTGGTTCAGTCCCAGTCTAGACCTGGTTCAGACCTGGACGTTGAGGACATCTTTCCGGTTGTTTGTGTGAATAAAAGTCACATTTCAATCCTTTCCTGAGTCTTGAGTCTGATCTGTCCCAAAGACCAGAGAGAGACCAGAGAGAGACCAGAAAGAGAGACCAGAGAGACCAGAGAGAGACCGGAGAGAGACCAGAGAGAGACCAGAGAGAGACCAGAGAGAGAGACCAGAGAGAGACCAGAGAGAGAGACCAGAGAGAGACCGGAGAGAGACCAGAGAGAGACTAGAGAGAGAGACCAGAGAGGTACCAGAGTGAGACCAGTGAGAGACCAGAGAGAAAGACCAGAGTGAGACCAGAGAGAGACCAGAGAGAGACCAGAGAGAGAGACCAGAGAGAGACCAGAGAGAGAGACCAGAGAGAGACTAGAGAGAGACCAGAGAGAAAGACCAGAGAGAGGCCAGAATGAGGTACCAGAGTGAGACCAGAGAGAGACCAGAGAGAGACCAGAGAGGAGTAAGTCTTGAACCCGGACCTCTTCAGTAAAGTGAGTAAACAGCTCTCACTCCTTTTACAAACACAGATCATCTGTTTCTTAAACAGTCGGTGTTTAGAGGATACTAAACATATACATTCACAATTATGGAGATAGCCCTGTTTCCAGCAGCCCTACTTGGCCCTACTTGGCCTGGCTTGGCCCTACTTGGCCCTACTTGGCCTGACTTGGCCCTACTTGGCCCTACTCAGCTCTACTCTACCCCAATTGGAACGAATAAAGGTTTATCTTATTCCACCTGGTTCTATCTGGGCCGGGCCGGTACTAAAGTGTTCTAACTGACAATGATTGATGGTGCTTGGAGCCAGGGCTGGACTGGGACAAAAAAACGGCCCGGGCATTTTTTCCTTCTTACCGGCCCAGGCATGTTTTTGTCACGTTTTTTACAGTTTGTTTATACCAGGGATCGGCAACTCAAAAGGTTCAAAGAGCCATATTTGACAAAAAATACTAAAAACATCTGTCTGGAGCCGCAAAAAAATAACAGCCTTGTATAAAGCTTATATGAAGGTTACACAATGTAGCTACATTAGCTACATTAGCCTATTATCTAAATGACCAAGTAAAGGCTACAAATACATAATAAGCATTCATGATTATCAAATGTGTGTTTTCACTGCAGCGTGTCCTGGAGAGAATGATGCACCACGTGACTCTGCTTTAACTTTGACTTCCATTTTTTTGCCTTCATGCAACTGTAGAAATACAGTAAATAAATCTGCTTTTTGGCTCAAAGGTCACACACCTGCACTGTCCACTCATATCGATTACGTCACAAGCTGAAGTTTGCTGGAGCTGAATGTCCTTAATGGCCTTTTCTTTCACAGTCTTTGCGGAGGTTTTTGAAGTCTGAAAAAGGTGCTCCGGATTTTGTATGAAAGAATCCTTCACGTAATCCCTGTGAACGGTATTTAGTGCTTCATTGTTCCTCGTGTTGCAACAAAACTTCCTATTACATCGCAAACATGAAGCAGTCCTTCCTCATTGACTAAAAGCAAATGTTCAGTCTTGTTCTTAGTCCAGTCTTATTATCGACTCGTTCTCTTTTTATCTTTGGGATCCGTGCGCACACGCCGGTTTGTTTACAGCAGCGGCCGCCTGCCGCGGGGCCGCGTCACAGGATATGACTCACTACGTTGACAGAAATGTTGAAATTGAATATTACTTATACACATTTTTACAGCATTGAAATACGTTAGGAATGTTTTTCCTCCTACAGAAACCACATTCAAATTAGGAATAAAATATAGCCCTCCCACTCCATTTTCAGACATTTTTGAAAAGGCTCCAGGAGCCACTGGAGGAGCACTAAAGGTTGCCGACCCCTGGTTTATACAGTATGTGGAAGCAAATACTGTAGAGGATCAGGATGTCTGCAGTTTCAACAAAAAAATAAAGTGCAATAGTCTACATTAAACAGAGTAATAAACATGTCTCAGAGTGAGGGAGGTGGACACAGACAATACTATTGTTTGTTACAGGGATGAGAATTGGTCAAAAAAGTCTGAAATGCATAATGTCAGCCATTGGCTGGCTCTAAATCTGTTTAATTTTTCCACAACATTTTACTTTTGGGCTCAAACATGAACTTTTAATGCAATGGAAAATTTAGGCACCCGAGCTTTAATTTAGTCGCACTTCGAGAGGAGAGGGGAGACGCGGACTGTTTCCTGCAGCGGTGTATTTATTGGGTGCACAAATTACGAAAAGACATGCATGGTCCTGTGCACGTTTATGGTCTTGGGTACATGGTCACGTTGCGGCTACGCGCTCACCGTGTTGTGTTGTGAGCGGCTCCCGGTGAGCGGTTCCCGCGTCCAGCTCAGAGCCGCTGGATGCCGGAACACTGCGGCCGCTGAGGTGGTAGAATCCCGTTCGAGTACATACAGCAGGTGCCCCGCGGACACGCGCGCTCCCCTCACACAGTTCTCAACGGATTTACACTTTTCACAAACATCTTTTTTGTATGAGGCAAACAGACCGGCCCAAATATGGGCATCGGCCCTTCTGGCATTGCCCGGTACGCCCGATGGCCAGTCCAGCCCTGCTTGGAGCCATGGTTTCCAAGGAATTTCCCCAGATACTGGTTCGCCTTGGGAAACATGTATTGTAAATATATTTACTGCATCTGTGAGGGACCTCGTCACAGACAGCACCAGCGGGAATCCATGTGAGTGTGTGGGATCTGAACCTGTGTCCTGAGTGTGTGGGATCTGAACCTATGTCCTGAGTGTGTGGGATCTGAACCTGTGTCCTGAGTGTGTGGGATCTGAACCTATGTCCTGAGTGTGTGGGATCTGAACCTGTGTCCTGAGTGTGTGGGATCTGAACCTGTGTCCTGAGTGTGTGGGATCTGAACCTATGTCCTGAGTGTGAGGGATCTGAACCTATGTCCTGAGTGTGTGGGATCTGAACCTGTGTCCTGAGTGTGTGGGATCTGAACCTATGTCCTGAGTGTGAGGGATCTGAACCTATGTCCTGAGTGTGTGGGATCTGAACCTGTGTCCTGAGTGTGTGGGATCTGAACCTGTGTCCTGAGTGTGTGGGATCTGAACCTATGTCCTGAGTGTGAGGGATCTGAACCTATGTCCTGAGTGTGTGGGATCTGAACCTGTGTCCTGAGTGTGTGGGATCTGAACCTGTGTCCTGAGTGTGAGGGATCTGAACCTATGTCCTGAGTGTGAGGGATCTGAACCTACAGTATGTCCTGAGTGTGTGGGATCTGAACCTGTGTCCTGAGTGTGTGGGATCTGAACCTATGTCCTGAGTGTGTGGGATCTGAACCTGTGTCCTGAGTGTGTGGGATCTGAACCTGTGTCCTGAGTGTGTGGGATCTGAACCTATGTCCTGAGTGTGTGGGACATGAACCTATGTCCTGAGTGTGTGGGACATGAACCTATGTCCTGAGGGAAGTCTCTGATCAGAAACATGTGGAGAACCTTCAGTGTTTGTGTGAACGCTCTGGAACGGTCAAGTTTATTTATGCAGCGCGTTTTAGATCGAGGCCACAAAGCTCCTCAGTAAAAACAGAAAAAAACAGATGTTATATTATAACATCTGGAGCAAGGATGCACCAAACACATGAATGTCCATAATAAAATAATTTATTATGAGAGAAAGCCGAAGTAAACTAATGTCAAAAGGTGCAGGTGCTCAGGTGCAGGTGCTCAGGTACAGGTGCTCAGGTACAGGTGCTCAGGTACAGGTGCTCAGGTGCTCAGGTACAGGTGCTCAGGTACAGGTGCTCAGGTGCAGGTGCTCAGGTACAGGTGCTCAGGTGCAGGTGCTCAGGTGCAGGTGCTCAGGTACAGGTGCTCAGGTACAGGTGCTCAGGTACAGGTGCTCAGGTACAGGTGCTCAGGTACAGGTGCTCAGGTACAGGTGCTCAGGTGCAGGTGGCTCAGGTACAGGTGCTCAGGTGCAGGTGCTCAGGTACAGGTGCTCAGGTACAGGTGCTCAGGTACAGGTGCTCAGGTACAGGTGCTCAGGTGCAGGTCCTCAGGTGCAGGTGCTCAGGTACAGGTGCTCAGGTACAGGTGCTCAGGTACAGGTGCTCAGGTACAGGTGCTCAGGTACAGGTGCTCAGGTACAGGTGCTCAGGTACAGGTGCTCAGGTACAGGTGCTCAGGTGCTCAGGTACAGGTGCTCAGGTGCAGGTCCTCAGGTACAGGTGCTCAGGTGCTCAGGTACAGGTGCTCAGGTACAGGTGCTCAGGTGCAGGTCCTCAGGTACAGGTGCTCAGGTGCTCAGGTACAGGTGCTCAGGTACAGGTGCTCAGGTGCAGGTCCTCAGGTACAGGTGCTCAGGTGCAGGTCCTCAGGTGCTTAGGTGCAGGTGCTCAGGTGCAGGTGCTCAGGTACAGGTGCTCAGGTGCAGGTCCTCAGGTACAGGTGCTCAGGTGCTCAGGTACAGGTGCTCAGGTACAGGTGCTCAGGTGCAGGTCCTCAGGTACAGGTGCTCAGGTGCAGGTCCTCAGGTGCTTAGGTGCAGGTGCTCAGGTCTTTTGTGTGCCAAGACGGGCCATGACACAGATAAACACTGTAAAAACATATAAACACAGTTGAAAACAGTTAAAAACAGTTAAAAACAGATAAAACAGATAAAAACAGATAAAACAGATAAAAACAGATAAAACAGATAAAAACAGATAAAACAGATAAAAACAGATATAAACAGTTAAAACAGATAAAAACAGATAAAAACAGTTAAAAAAAGTTACAAACTGAAACTAAAAAGCCTCAAGAAAATCATGGAAAAGCTGCAGAGATAAAAATGTTTTCATCTGAACCTTGAAAGTCTCCGTCCTCTCTGTGTTTGTCCATGTGCTTAGCGTGTGCTTAGCGTGTTCTTAGCGTGTATGTAGCGTGTTTGTTTTGTACATTTATGTTTCCACTTCATCACTGAGCTCTTTGTCTTTTGCTCTGACTCCGCCCCCAGGTCTGCAGGTACAACGACCACTCTCCGGTCTCACACTGGTCTCTCACTGGTCTCTCACTGGTCTCTCACTGGTCTCACACTGGTCTCACACTGGTCTCTCTCTCTGGTATCTCTCTGGTCTCTCTCTGGTCTCACGCTGGTCTCACACTGGTCTCTCACTGGTCTCTCACTGGTCTCACACTGGTCTCTCACTGGTCTCTCACTGGTCTCTCACTGGTCTCTCTCTGGTCTCTCTCTGGTCTCACGCTGGTCTCATACTGGTCTCTCACTGGTCTCACACTGGTCTCTCACTGGTCTCACACTGGTCTCTGATCCTGGTCTCACACTGGTCCTTCTGTGATGTCGTTTCCAGCAGAGACCCTGAGCCTGCAGACCTCAGACCAGGCTCAGACCCTGTCCCTGCAGACCTCGGACCAGGCTCAGACCCAGTCTCTGCAGACCTCGGACCAGGCTCAGACTTGGTCCCTGCAGACCTTGGACCAGGCTCAGAACCGGTCCCTGCAGACCTCGGTCCGGGCTCAGTACCGGTCTCTGCCCACAGCGCCTCACTGTCTACTCACATACGTCTGGATTAATCCTCAGGGAACGGCGCCAAAATCCAAGACCCGGATTCTGGACTACGAGCCTCAGAATATACAAGGTCAGTCCAAGTCAGTCCAAGTCAGTCCAGGTCAGTAGTAGTAGTAGTAGTAGTAGTAATCTTTATTTATATACCGCCTTTTCACTGCAGATCTGAGTCTCAAAGCGGTTTACAATTGTTAATTTGGGGCATTTGTCTCCATTCATTTGAACGAGTGACTTGAAAAATTCACAGCGACTAAACTAGAGTGGACCAAAAACATTCACCCTCGCAGCATTGACACACATGTGGAACGGAGCTTTGGGACAAGAGCCAACTTTTGGTCCATCCTGTAAAGGTGTTTTTGAGAGGTCTGTTAATGCTATATGTTAGCATTGGCTAATTCTACTTCTGGGTCCACCCCCACAGGCCCGGGGTGGTATTGCAGCATGTCAGCTCACGTCATTTTGGCCACTTTTGAGCCGAAACCCGCCCCCACTGCTCAGAATCCACGATGCCGTCCACTTTAACCAATCATGTGATGCCAAGGGCTGTCAATCATCATCTGTTGTTCGCACATGCTCAGTTTATTTTCACGGAGCCAAAGCTCTGCATCGACAACATCAGCGCTGAGTGACCCGAATATACTTCACTTATACTTTTACTGAACCTGAATCCATCAGATCCAAATGTTCCTAGAGTGTTTATTAATGTTAATAGTTACTTTTGGTTTATTGTGATCGCTTTTTTGACTCATTAAAACAGAATTTTTGTCATGAAAACATGAACAGATAACAGGGTGCTCAGTAGTGCCCCCCACGGGCGCTGACATGTCAGAGGAACTCGCCCATATTTGGGCATTGTCTGGTGCTCCCAGTTAGTGGACGAGCTCCCATGATGCTTTGCACCAACTACGTGTGTGTGGCTCTCATGCACCGTGCATGATGCACGTGCACAGAGGGGCTCGGCCACGCTCTGACCAATCAGAGCAGAGTCAGAGCGGGAAGGAAAGGAGCAGAGTTTGTGGCAGTAAAGTGTGGATTTAAAGAAAACATAAGGATTTCAGAAGAGACACTAAAATACCCACAAAATCTGACCTTTATGAAAGCTGTAGGTTCTCTGTCAGGTTCTCTGTCAGGTTCTCTGTCAGCTGAGGTCGATGGGAACATGTCTGTGTAGCCCACGTCTGGTTTAGTCTGGTTTATTCTGTTTTTTTTCTGGTTTAGTCTGGTTTAGTCTGTTTTTTCTGTTTTTTTCTGGTTTAGTCTGGTTTAGTCTGGTTTAGTGCCAAAGGGCAGCGGTCATTATTGGTTTGATTGTCTGTTATTAAGAAATAATGATCGTAGAACGTTTTGAAATGACATTCAAATCAATGGTTCTCCTGCTGCTGTGAGGAACTGAGTGATAAAAAACATTAAATATTAGAATATTTAAATTAATAATCTCTCCTCCGCACGTCTTGGACCATGGACCTGTCACGTGCACGGAAAAGTAGGCGCGGCTTCAAGACCAATCAGAAAGGAAGGGGGAGGAGCTTGGGTCGTTTTTTCAAATCATGTTCCTCTCTTTTCTCTGACAAACTCCAGACTTTCACTACGTGTGCTACGTGACAAAAAGAATCCGGTCGTTTTTGAGCCTGTGGACTAAATTCATCTCTGACTAAAGCTCGAGGGAATCACTGAAAACACGACTCAAACAGCTGTGATCACGTTCAACAGAGACAAACGGACCTTTAATGACCACACACCTGTAACAGACATATGGGACCTTTAATGACCACACACCTGTAACAGAGACATATGGACCTTTAATGACCACACACCTGTAACAGAGACATATGGGACCTTTAAGGACCACACACCTGTAACAGAGACATATGGGACCTTTAAGGACCACACACCTGTAACAGAGACATATGGGACCTTTAAGGACCACACACCTGTAACAGAGACATATGGGACCTTTAAGGACCACACACCTGTAACAGAGACATATGGGACCTTTAAGGACCACACACCTGTAACAGAGACATATGGGACCTTTAAGGACCACACACCTGTAACAGAGACATATGGGACCTTTAAGGACCACACACCTGTAACAGAGACATATGGGACCTTTAAGGACCACACACCTGTAACAGAGACATATGGGACCTTTAAGGACCACACACCTGTAACAGAGACATATGGGACCTTTAAGGACCACACACCTGTAACAGAGACATATGGGACCTTTAAGGACCACACACCTGTAACAGAGACATATGGACCTTTAATGACCACACACCTGTAACAGAGACATATGGGACCTTTAAGGACCACACACCTGTAACAGAGACATATGGACCTTTAATGACCACACACCTGTAACAGAGACATACGGGACCACACACACCTGTGGCCCAGTGGTATGAAGGTCTGCAGTGAGTTGGAGTGTTCTGGCGACATCTAGTGGTTTAAAATGACATTACATCAGTTCAGAGCCGCTGCTGCTGAGATCATTCTGTAGCTCAGGTTCAGGTTTAGATACATTTATCTCTGTGTTAGCTTTAGGTTCAGGTTTAGCTACATTTATCGTAGGTTTAAGTTTAGCTTTAGCTTTAGGTAAAAAAAAGGAGAGGTTCTGGTTCTGAACTATTGCTTTAAACATAAATGACAACCGTTTTTTTTGTGCGGCTGTGACTGGCAAGCGAGCTGTCAATCACAGCCCAGACCACACCCCCTTCCGGCCCACGTGTCCCCTGGGCAACGCCCTTTTATCAGAGGATTTTCAAACGACCATGTGGGCGGGGTCAGGCTGTCCATGTGGGGGCGGAGTCAAGCTGTCCATGTGGGCGGAGTCAGGCTGTCCATGTGGGGGCGGAGTCAGGCTGTCCATGTGATATACAAATAAACGTCCTTCCTTCCCTGCGCAGACGTCCCGCTGTGGTACGGTACCTGAACATGGTTCCGTTTGAGCTCCAGCTGGTCCCAGTCCGGATCTTTAGAAACCCGTTCTCCTTGGACCCCCACAAACTGGTCCTGTGCGAGGCCAGAGAGATGGACGGGACCCCAGCATGTAAGAACCGGGACCAGGACCAGGACTGAACCAGGACTGAACCAGGACTAAACCAGGACCAGGACTGAACCATGAGAAGTACTTACTGTACACAGCTGTATACAGGCGATGGTACAGCTGTATACAAGCAATGGTACAGGTGTATACAGGCGATGGTACAGGTGTATACAGGCGTACACAGGTGTATACAGGCGTACACAGGTGTATACAGGCGTACACAGGTGTATACAGGCGTACACGGGTGTATACAGGCATTGGCAGTGTATACAAGCACTAAATAAAATTGATTGATTGATTGGTACAGGTGTATACAGACAATGATACAGGTGTATACAGGCGATGGTACAGCTGTATACAGGCGATGGTACAGGTGTATACAGGCGACGGTACAGTTGTATACAGGCGTACACAGGTGTATACAGGCGAGGGTACAGGTGTATACAGACGATGGTACAGCTGTATACAGGCGATGGTACAGCTGTATACAGGCGATGGTACAGGTGTATACAGACGATGGTACAGCTGTATACAGGCGATGGTACAGGTGTATACAGGCGACGGTACAGTTGTATACAGGCGTACACAGGTGTATACAGGCGAGGGTACAGGTGTATACAGACGATGGTACAGCTGTATACAGGCGTACACAGGTGTATACAGGCGTACACGGGTGTATACAGGCATTGGCAGTGTATACAAGCACTAAATAAAATTGATTGATTGATTGGTACAGGTGTATACAGACAATGATACAGGTGTATACAGGCGATGGTACAGCTGTATACAGGCGTACACAGGTGGATACAGGCGATGGTACAGGTGCGTACAGGCGTACACAGGTGTATACAGGCATACACAGGTGTATACAGGCATACACAGGTGTATACAGGCGTATACAGGTGTATACAGGCGTACACAGGTGTGACTGTGTTTCCAGTGGGGAACAGAAGGCAGCAGTGTCTCCGTGTGATGGAGGCCTCTGAGGACCACAAACCCTGGTTTGGCTTCGAACAAGAATATCTGCTGGAGACCCCCGAGGGACTGCCCCTGGGCTGGACCTCCCCCACACCCCCCCCTGTAGGTGAGTCCCCCCCCCTGTAGGTGAGTCCCCCCCCCTGTAGGTGAGTCCCCCCCCCTGTAGGTGAGTCCCCCCCGTAGGCGACTAAGGTTAAGGGTTAATGTTAGCTAATTCCTGTTGACGTTAATGTTAGCTAGTTCCTGTTGACGTTGATGTTAGCTAGTTCCTGTTGACGTTGATGTTAGCTAGTTCCTGTTGACGTTGATGTTAGCTAGTTCCTGTTGACGTTGATGTTAGCTAGTTCCTGTTGACGTTGATGTTAGCTAGTTCCTGTTGACGTTGATGTTAGCTAGTTCCTGTTGACGTTAATGTTAGCTAGTTTCCACAGTGTCGTCTGCTGAGCTGGGGCTGGATAAAGTCTTCGGTCGTGACGTCTGCGTGAGCCACTGCCGGGCCTGTCTGTACGCCGGGGTCAGGCTCACCGGGACCACCGCAGAAGGACTACCCTCTCAGGTACCACCACCACAGAGGGAAACGGAGGGGTGTTGTTTGGACTAGGGATGTAAATCGGTGACCGTTTAACCGTCTCACTTCCGCCTCCGTCGAGCAAAGACGTGTCCCAGACGCTCCTGCTTCTGACTGCTGCTATCTCCTGTTTTTGTCTTTTTCCTGGAGTTTTGCCACAGACAACTTTAAGCAAGAATGGAAATGATTAATTGGTCCCTCAACGCAATTGATTCTATCTTTTCAACACGTAAGCGTGGGTCTGGAGAGCCCGAGTGCCCGGACGGGACTTCACCAGCGGGGTATACTCTTGACAGCTGGAACAAGTTTCAGCCCCTATGTCTGTCGGTCCTGTCCATTGAAGATTCGGAAGACGTATATATCTTTGGCATTTTGGTGGTGGGAATCCTCCTGTTTGGGTTTGGAGCGATCCTCTTCTACCACAAATTCGGAGGCATGGCAGTTCGCAAGATTCACGACCTGCTGGCCAACAAAATTGATGGGATGTACAAGGAGCTAAGCCGTGTCGTGGTTGAGAGTGCCGTGGCTGGACAAAGGAGAGTGGTGTTGGTGGAACAGTTGATAAAAGATCTCGCAGCTCGTTCACTCGAAGGGAATAAAACTCTGGAGTTGAGATTGAATGACATTGTTTGCCAGGCTTGAACTCTCTGACCCGGCTTGGATTTGCCCCTGTGTACGGGGTCTGAGGGCGCCGCAATTCGGTTTAATTGGATTTAATAGAATATCTGCCTGCTTTTAACTGCTACATTGCATATAATATTGTCCCCCTGAGGCGATGTGTTTTCTCCTCCTGTGCCTTCTCTCCACTCTTATCTCACATTCCTCGGCCAAGGCCATAATAACAAAGGTCCCATCTACAACAACTCACACTATTCAGTCTCCAGCTTGGATCCCGCTCCCCCCGCCTCCCTCTACCTATCCACCTTGCTCCCTCCCTCCCCTCCACTCCTCACTGTGTTTCCGACTCACCCCCCTCCCTGACCCCGCCCCCCTCTGACAGCCACATTCGGCTGTCGGAGGTGCTCATCCCGAGAAAAAATCCGTGCTTTATACAAAGCACAATGTGTCTATCCAACTGCCTGTGAAACTGTATGTTATTGCTCTCTGCTGTTTATTCTACTGTTTGTCGCATGGCGCCGTAAAGATGGCGCCGTGGCAAGAGCTCTGGTGTGTGTCGTCTTCTCTGTCTGGTGCACACCGGGGTAGTCTTGCACAGTTTTTCCAATGTGGTTTTACTGCAAATGGCAAATAAATGAATCTGAATCTGAATCTAACCGGTGGTTAACCGTCACAGCGTTAACCGGTCAAAGCTGTCGGTTAAAAGAGAGAAAAAGGGGAGAGAGGAGGTCTTTTCATAACACTATTTTAAGCCCTATTTGCACGATGTGACGAGCGGGTCCGTATCTAGCTGTGTGCGCCAATGTATCAGTAAACTCTGGGCCGACTCTCACGCCGCACTCGCCGCATATGCACGCACACATGCACACGCATACATGCGCGCACAAACACACTAGCACACACACTCTTTCGACACGTAACATCCACACGCATCATCTCTCCCCTCTGTTACCGTCTGCTAGTTACACACTGGTGAAGGTCAGAACTACATTGGAGCTTATATTTACACACACATACACACACAGACACATACACATACATACATACATGTATTGTGCACACACACATACCGGTGTGTCGCGTTCCTTTGTGTCACGGAGCCCAAAGAATCCTCGTAAATACGCGGCTCCAGTCAAACCACATGAAACATTTTTGTGCTGCTGGTCCTCGGCATCAGCTCCACAATGATCACTTTTAAACTTTAGCAGAGACCTGCGAGACGCGGCGCATCACTCGCTGCTCTGACCATGTGACGAGCCGTACAACCGGCGCGCCGGCGGCCGTTTTTATGTTTTTAAATGTTCTGCTGGCAATAGCAGATGTATTTTGAACACCAAACCCCAAAAGCTGTATATCATTTTAAAGCTTATTTTCTTATCTACATTTATATACAAGTGTAAACTACATCCATAAATCAATTCCGAAATAGTTTTTTACCTTTGGGCTTGTGCTGTACAAATAAATCAGCTCTCCTCCCAGCTTGCAATACATCATTCTCTCTGGAACAGTCCAAAGGAAAATTATATCCACTTGTATTTCCCAAAGTAAAATCCATTCTGCAGAAATAATCCAAAAATGTGCATTTATCTTTAGCGGAAAAAACGAAAAAAAAGAGCACAGATGTTACTCTTTCACTTTTAACGGACTTTTAGCTTTGTTTTTCACCCAAACATCTGGTATCTACGTGTTCCTTAGCTCCTTATCTTTCAAATGAGACTACTCCCGAAAAGCTAGACCAATTTTTGGGTCTGCAATAGCTCCCGCAAGTACCGCTCGTGCTGCTGTTTGCGCATGGAGGACTGATCTTTGTTGTGCTCCCAACTTGTTTGCTTTTACTTCCGGGATTTACGATTGACATGTCCTTGTAGCCAATGAGGAAAGCTTTCGAACAAGGGGTGGGACAATGGTGTCCTGTCTTATGTTGTGCCTGGACAATTGTGCGTAATGGCAGCCAAAAGACGCTCTCGAAGCTGCAATGAATTTACACTCATAAAAAAATAACTTTGACATTTAAAAAAGAAAAACACACATAGATTAGTAACTTATAAGTACCAATAATGAAAAATATTGTTTTTATGATGATTAAATGTAAGTAAAGATATTTGGCACAATTTGGCACACTTGTGCCAAATTGTGCCAAATGTGCACTACTTGATGAAAAGGAGAAACTGCATAAAAACTATAAAACTTACAAGTCTGAAACTTTAGACAGTTGTTGTCAACAACACAATGAACAGAGGGTTTGAATATTGTGAACTTACAATGAAGTATGCCTTTTTTAGGGCCTTTAGAAATTGAAAATGTTAGGCGAGGCTAAAAAAATTGGGTTTTTTTCCCTAACTTCAAAGGATGCAGAGGAAAATAGGAATGACAAACATTATTTTAGTGTTTTTTTACATAAACTAGAAGGCTCTAGCTTTAAAATGATGCATCACACAAGCATGTGAGATGTAAGATGTGTTTTTAAATAAGCAAAGACATTTGGGTATGCCCAACCATTGTGCACGAGCCAAAATGAGGCGGTTGTTAAGAGGTTAAAATGTTTTAACCCGCAGCACAGAAGAATGGAAAGATTAAAACAGCAGTTCTCTGTGCGCAAAGGTGCTGAAGCTGTTGCAGGTTTTGGCGCCGCTGTCTCGGCTCTGATCCAGTAGAACGCAGAGCTGCACTTATGAGAAGTACGCGGCTCGAAATGGCTGTTATTTCAAAGAACGTGGACTATTTTAAACTACGCGGTTAACCGGTTTCAACCGGTTAACCGGTTGTCGTCATGAAAATACATAGTTTTTTACATCCCTAGTTTGGACCCAAGTCGGCTTCAGCTAAACAGGTTAAAATACGGAGGTCAGAACAGACTGAGAGAGAGAGACCAGAGAGAGACCTACAAAAGCCACAGAAAGACCAGAGAGAGACCAGGGAGAGACCAGAGAGAGACCAGAGAGAGAGACCAGAGAGCGACCAGAGAGAGACCAGAGAGACACCAGGGAGAGACCAGAGAGAGACCAGAGAGAGACCAGAGAGAGACCAGAGAAAGACCACAGAGACCAGAGAGAGACCAGAGAGACCACAGAAAGACCAGAGAGAGACCAGAGAGAGACCAGAGAGAGACCAGAGAGAGACCAGAAAGAGACCAGAGAGAGACCAGAGAGAGACCAGAGAGACCAGAGAGAGACCAGAGAAAGACCACAGAGACCAGAGAGAGACCAGAGAGAGACCAGAGAGACCAGAGAGAGACCAGAGAGACCAGAGAGACCAGAGAGAGACCAGAGAGACCAGAGAGAGACCAGAGAGACCAGAGAGAGACCAGAGAGAGACCAGAGAGAGACCAGAGAGAGACCAGAGACCTGCGCCAAAATACCCTGTTCGAACTTGCTCTTTAGGTTGTATGTTCCTCTCATGTCTCCCCCCCAACCCCCACCCCCCCAGTGGGAGTTCCAGGTGGGCCCCTGTGCAGGTGTGGACCTGGGGGACCAGGTCTGGATGTCCCGCTACATCCTCCATCGAGTCTGTGAGGACTTCGGGGTTGTTCCCTCGTTCAGACCGAAGCCTGTGGAGCATCCCATCTGGGCCAACGGGGGCCACATGAACTTCAGCACCGAGAGCATGAGGGAGGAGGGAGGCCTGAGGTGAGGAGAGGGGAGGAGGGGGGAGGGAGGAGGGAGGCCTGAGGTGAGGAGAAGGAGGAGAGGGGAGGAGGGAGGCCTGAGGTGAGGAGGGGGGAGGGAGGAGAGGGAGGAGGAGAGGGAGGAGGAGGGAGGCCTGAGGTGAGGAGGGGGGAGGGGAGGAGGGAGGCCTGAGGTGAGGAGGGGGGAGGGAGGCCTGAGGTGAGGAGGGGGGGGAGGAGAGGGAGGAGGAGGGAGGCCTGAGGTGAGGAGGGGGGGGGGAGGAGGAGAGGGGGGAGGAGAGGGAGGAGGAGGGAGGCCTGAGGTGAGGAGGGGGGAGGGAGGAGGGAGGCCTGAGGTGAGGAGGGGGGAGGAGAGGGAGGAGGAGGGAGGCCTGAGGTGAGGAGGGGGGAGGGAGGACCCAGGACCGAGGCTGTAGACCCAGGACTGGACCTCCTCATGGTCCCGGTCTTGTGTCTCCACAGACACATCCATGCTGCCATCGAGCGCCTGTCGCAGCGCCACCCAGAGGACATGTGGATGTACGGCAGCGAGGAGAACATGCAACGGCTGAACAACGTGGGACCGAACCCGGACTTCAGCACCTTCTCCTGGGCGGTCTCGGAGCGCAAGTGCAGCGTGCGCATCCCGGGACACGTGCACAAGGCCGGGAGGGGCTACCTGGAGGACCGCAGACCTGCCGCGGACTGTGACCCCTACCAGGTGTCCATGGTCCTGGTCCAGACCTGGTCCAGACCGTGACCTGGTTCTGTGTGTGTGTGTGTGTGTGTGTTGTACCATGTCGTTTTGTGTTACTTTCCTACTGTTGTGCGGTGAACATGTACAAATAAACAAAATAAATTGTTTGTTAGTGTAAGTAAGTGTGTTATTTTGTTCAGTGGAATTGTGTGTGTTTTTAAAATTGTGTTTCAACAGGAAGTCACCAGAGGGACAGCCTGGAGCACCACAGTGTGTGCGTGTCTCTGTGTTTGTTTGTGTGGGTGTGTGTTTGTTTGTGTGTGTTTGTGTGTTCCCAGCCCGGAGACACACACACACACAAACACACACACACACACACACATACACACATATATAACACTTTTGTGGAAGTTTAGATAAAGGTCACTTTAACATGTGTCTCTGATTGGTCTGTCCCTCTGGCTCCTGATTGGTCCACCTCCCCCCTTTAGGGGCTGTAGGTCTCCACACAGTCCCTGTGCTCCTCACTCTTCAGTCCCTTTGCTCCTCACTCTTCGGTCCCTGTGCTCCTCACTCTTCAGTCCCTGTGCTCCTCACTCTTCAGTCCCTTTGCTCCTCACTCTTCGGTCCCTTTGCTCCTCACTCTTCAGTCCCTGTGCTCCTCACTCTTCAGTCCCTTTGCTCCTCACTCTTCAGTCCCTTTGCTCCTCACTCTTCAGTCCCTGTGCTCCTCACTCTTCTGTCCCTTTGCTCCTCACTCTTCAGAGACCCTCAGGTCTTAGACGGTAAGTAGATCCTTGACTATCACTAAAGCTCGGGTGTGTAACTTCATAAAGCTCGGGTGTGTAACTTTGTAAAGCTCGGGTGTGTAACTTCATAAAGCTCGGGTGTGTAACTTTGTAAAGCTCGGGGGACTGCGCCCTCTTGTGGCCACAGACTGACACAGCGTCTTCAGCCTGATTCTATGAAAGTATTTAACCTCTGTCACATCTTCATTCATCCGCTTTCTCCTCCTTTCCCCTTCTGTCTCCTCCTTTCTCCTCCTTTCCCCTTCTGTCTCCTCCTTTCTCCTTCTGTCTCCTCCTTTCTCCTTCTGTCTCCTCCTTTCTCCTTCTGTCTCCTCCTTTCTCCTCCTTTCTCCTTCTGTCTCCTCCTTTCTCCTTCTGTCTCCTCCTTTCTCCTTCTGTCTCCTCCTTTCTCCTCCTTTCCCCTTCTGTCTCCTCCTTTCTCCTTCTGTCTCCTCCTTTCTCCTCCTTTCCCCTTCTGTCTCCTCCTTTCTCCTTCTGTCTCCTCCTTTCTCCTCCTTTCCCCTTCTGTCTCCTCCTTTCTCCTTCTGTCTCCTCCTTTCTCCTTCTGTCTCCTTCTTTCTCCTTCTCTCTCCTCCTTTCTCCTTCTCTCTCCTCCTTTCTCCTTCTGTCTCCTCCTTTCTCCTTCTGTCTCCTCCTTTCTCCTCCTTTCTCCTTCTGTCTCCTTCTTTCTCCTTCTTTCTCCTCCTTTCTCCTTCTTTCTCCTTCTGTCTCCTTCTTTCTCCTCCTTTCTCCTTCTGTCTCCTTCTGTCTCCTTCTTTCTCCTCCTTTCTCCTCCTTTCTCCTCTCTACTTCTTTCTCTTCCTTTCTCCTCCTTTCTCCTCCTTTCGCCTTCTTTCTCCTTCTGTCTCCTTCTTTCTCCTCCTTTCCCCTTCTGTCGCCTTCTTTCCGCTTCTCTCTCCTTCTCTCTCCTTTCTCCTCCTTTCTCCTCCTCCTGTCGCAGAGATGTCGCTGGGGCCTCAGACCCTGTGTCTACAGAGGATCGCAATGAGACCGTACCTGGCCCTCCCCCCGTCCCACTGTCAGGTCACATACATTTGGATCAACTCCTCCGGCACCGAACCCATGTCCAAGACACGGATCATGCAGAACGAGCCCGAGAGCCTGGAAGGTGAGACCCGGACCAGAACGAGCCCGAGAGCCTGGAAGGTGAGACCCGGACCAGAACGAGCCCGAGAGCCTGGAAGGTGAGACCCAGACCAGAACGAGCCCGAGAGCCTGGAAGGTGAGACCCGGACCAGAACGAGCCCGAGAGCCTGGAAGGTGAGACCCAGACCAGAACGAGCCCGAGAGCCTGGAAGGTGAGACCCAGACCAGAACGAGCCCGAGAGCCTGGAAGGTGAGACCCAGACCAGAACGAGCCCGAGAGCCTGGAAGGTGAGACCCGGACCAGAACGAGCCCGAGAGCCTGGAAGGTGAGACCCAGACCAGAACGAGCCCGAGAGCCTGGAAGGTGAGACCCAGACCAGAACGAGCCCGAGAGCCTGGAAGGTGAGACCCAGACCAGAACGAGCCCGAGAGCCTGGAAGGTGAGACCCAGACCAGAACGAGCCCGAGAGCCTGGAAGGTGAGACCCAGACCAGAACGAGCCCGAGAGTCTAGAAGGTGAGACCCGGACCAGAACGAGCCCGAGAGCCTGGAAGGTGAGACCCAGACCAGAACGAGCCCGAGAGCCTGGAAGGTGAGACCCAGACCAGAACGAGCCCGAGAGACTGGAAGGTGAGACCCGGACCAGAACGAGCCCGAGAGCCTGGAAGGTGAGACCCGGACCAGAACGAGCCCGAGAGCCTAGAAGGTGAGACCCAGACCAGAGCGACAGGGTTTCTCTCTCTCGCAGCAGGACAGTGATAGGGTTTCTCTCTCTCTCACAGCAGGACAGTGATAGGGTTTCTCTCTCTCTTACAGCAGGACAGTGATAGGGTTTCTCTCTCTCTCACAGCAGGACAGTGACAGGGTTTCTCTCTCTCTCACAGCAGGACAGTGACAGGGTTTCTCTCTCTCACAGCAGGACAGTGACAGGGTTTCTCTCTCTCTCACAGCAGGACAGTGACAGGGTTTCTCTCTCTCTCACAGCAGGACAGTGACAGGGTTTCTCTCCCTCACAGCAGGACAGTGACAGGGTTTCTCTCTCTCTCACAGCAGGACAGTGACAGGGTTTCTCTCACAGCAGGACAGTGATAGGGTTTCTCTCTCTCTCACAGCAGGACAGTGACAGGGTTTCTCTCCCTCACAGCAGGACAGTGACAGGGTTTCTCTCCCTCAGAGCAGGACAGTGATAGGGTTTCTCTCTCTCTCTCACAGCAGGACAGTGATAGGGTTTCTCTCTCTCTTACAGCAGGACAGTGACAGGGTTTCTCTCTCTCTTACAGCAGGACAGTGACCGGGTTTCTCTCTCTCTCACAGCAGGACAGTGATAGGGTTTCTCTCTCTCTCACAGCAGGACAGTGATAGGGTTTCTCTCTCTCTCTCACAGCAGGACAGTGATAGGGTTTCTCTCTCTCTCTCACAGCAGGACAGTGACAGGGTTTCTCTCTCTCTCACAGCAGGACAGTGATAGGGTTTCTCTCTCTCTCACAGCAGGACAGTGATAGGGTTTCTCTCTCTCTTACAGCAGGACAGTGACCGGGTTTCTCTCTCTCTCACAGCAGGACAGTGATAGGGTTTCTCTCTCTCTCACAGCAGGACAGTGATAGGGTTTCTCTCTCTCTCTCACAGCAGGACAGTGATAGGGTTTCTCTCTCTCTCTCTCACAGCAGGACAGTGATAGGGTTTCTCTCTCTCTCACAGCAGGACAGTGATAGGGTTTCTCTCTCTCTTACAGCAGGACAGTGACAGGGTTTCTCTCTCTCTCACAGCAGGACAGTGACAGGGTTTCTCTCTCTCTCACAGCAGGACAGTGATAGGGTTTCTCTCTCTCTCACAGCAGGACAGTGATAGGGTTTCTCTCTCTCTCACAGCAGGACAGTGATAGGGTTTCTCTCTCTCTCTCACAGGAGGACAGTGATAGGGTTTCTCTCTCTCTTACAGCAGGACAGTGATAGGGTTTCTCTCTCTCTCACAGCAGGACAGTGACAGGGTTTCTCTCTCTCTCACAGCAGGACATTGATAGCGTTTCTCTCTCTCTCACAGCAGGACAGTGATAGGGTTTCTCTCTCTCTCACAGCAGGACAGTGACAGGGTTTCTCTCTCTCACAGCAGGACAGTGACAGGGTTTCTCTCTCTCTCACAGCAGGACAGTGACAGGGTTTCTCTCACAGCAGGACAGTGATAGGGTTTCTCTCTCACACACAGCAGGACAGTGACAGGGTTTCTCTCTCTCTCGCAGCAGGACAGTGATAGGGTTTCTCTCTTGTTGACAGAGGTGCCGGTGTGGCGTGGCGTGCACAAGAGGGAGCTCAGCCTGGTCCCGGTCGCCATCTTCAGGGACCCCTTCATTCGGGGCCCGCACAAAATGGTTCTGTGCGACGCCAGGAACCGGGACGGGACCCCAGCAAGTAAGAGCCTCAGAGCTACCCTACCCTACCCTACCCTACCCTAGTCTAGTCTAGTCTAGTCTAGTCTAGTCTAGTCTAGTCTAGTCTAGTCTAGTAGTAAGAAAATGTGTTGTGGAGGAATACACAGCAGCGCTAAACACAGTTGCACTACACACAGCTGTACACAGCCTGAGCTCCTTGGCAGCTGTGTTCTTACCAGCGGAGGCGGGTCCCAGCTCAAAAGTGGCCTAAATGACGTGCGCTGACATGCTGCAATACCACCCCGGGCCGATGGGGGTGGACCCAGAAGAAGAATTAGCCAATGCTAACATATAGCATCTCCTTACCTCTCAAAAACGTCTTTACAGGATGGTCCAAAAGTTGGCTCTTGGCCCAAAGCTATGGAGGACCAAAAATGACTAAAGTATAAATAAATAAATAAATAAATAAATACAGGAATATATTAATAAATACATTCATTTTGGACAATAAAAACTAAATATTTACATTGATGTGTTAAATATTACTATGAAATCAAATAAATATACTTTTATTTAGGTTATTTATCAATATCTACATTTTTTCCTTTATTTATTTATCCATTTATTGCATATATTTATTTATGTATTTCTACATTTCTTCATTCATTTATTTATGTATTTCTACATTTCTTCATTTATTTATTTATGTATTTCTACATTTCTTCATTTATTTATTTATGTATTTCTGTGTTGCCGTATGCTAATTAGGTGGGCGGTGCTGAACTCAATGATTGGTGGGCAGTAGGGCAACCAGACAGAAGCAAAGTTAAGCCTAGCGTACATCGACAGAGAAACTGGAGACAAGTTGCAAGGCGGCTTTTGGCGACTGAGAGGAGATGATGGAGATGATCAGTTGCCAAAATCGGTCGATGTGAGCGCTCTTACAACTGGAGATGAACAGTCGGTCTCCAGTTTCAGTCAGTTGCCCGTGTTCTACTTTTCGGCAACTAGTTGTCCTCAGTTTCGGAGATATGACCCGATGTCCGACAGCGTGTGTGTATTGCGTGTATTGCGAGCCCGCAACAGTTTATGTCAGAAAACACACTGTAGTTGAGGCCAGTTGCTGTCGATGTACGCGCTGTTATTCCCGAGACTGGTCTGTTACTGGGAGTTGCCCGTTTTCGTCAGATTGTCGATGTGTGCGGGGCAGCAACTCATATGCGACGGATATAATCAGTTGCCAGTCCGATGTACGCTTGGCTTTAGCCTTCTCGGTTTGTGAGAGGATGTGAAGCTGCTGCTTGTTGAAGAGCGTCCAGCACAGTTGCATCAAAGTCTACCTCTGGGTCAGCACTGTGATAAACTAAAACATCTAATAGTCTTTCCCGCCGAAAGAGTAGATAGTCCTCAGGTGCATTATGCTCAACATCATTAACATCATTTGCTAATGCTCTTAATTGATGAGCAATGGCTCCTAAAAAACTTACATTCGAAACTGCCATCATACCACACAAAAGTGCACGGAGGATCTCTAGCTAGCTAACAGAGTACCGTAATGTGAGGCAGTAAATGATCGAGACCAGAGTTCACGCAATCCTAACCAATCCTGTTCTAGATTGAGTTCAGCACCGCCCACCTAATTAGCATACAGGAACACAGAAATACATAAATAAATAAATGAAGAAATGTAGAAATACATAAATAAATAAATGAAGAAATGTAGCGACACAGAAATACATAAATAAATAAATGAAGAAATGTAGAAATACATAAATAAATAAATGAAGAAATATAGAAATACATAAATAAATAAATGAAGAAATGTAGAAATACATAAATAAATATATGCAATAAATGGATAAATAAATAAAGGAAAAAATGTAGATATTGATAAATAACCTAAATAAAAGTATATTTATTTGATTTCAGAGTAATATTTAGCATATCAATGTAAATATTTAGTTTTTATTGTCCAAAATGAATGTATTTATTAATATATTCCTGTTTTTATTTATTTATTTATACTCCTCCATACAAAGCTCCGTTCCACATGTGTGTCAATGCTGAGGGGGGTGGATTTTTTTGGACCACTCTAGTTTAGTTGCTGTGAATTTTTGAAGTCTCTCGTTCAAATGAATGGAGCTGCTCCGGCTGACGCATGCGCAGATGCGTTTTTTCACAATTTTCTTGTGGGCGGGACCACTCGTGGCCATTTTGGATTGCTCCAGTAGAGCTAATTTTTTGGCCCGTTAGTGAGAACGGCGGAGATAGGCGTGACTCTGTCCGTTAATATATACAGTCTATGGTTCTCAGTGATGGGCAAGCTACTTGATTTGTGTAGTGAGCTAAGCTACAAGCTACTCTACAATAAATTCAGCTTCACTACACAGAAGCTACCACCCATACAAATGTAGCAAGCTAAGTTCCAAAATTCTGTCAAAAGTAGCTTGCTATATAGAAGCTATTTTCAATTAAACAAACTGCAGTTCATGCAATTTTATATTTTCCTGCATTAACATGTTTGCTCATTTCTTATTTTTTGCAACATTCTTGAGTGTTTTATCCATGCCAAATGTGACATGTAAATTTCTCCTGTGTGAGATTAATAAAGCTTATCTTCTTATTTGAGATAAACTGTCAGTCAGATAAAGGTTAACATTTTGTAGATATTTATTGAACAATAGCCCAAAACACCAAAAACAACAAAGAGTAGGCATCTGAAAACATATTTCTTTTCGCTCATCTCGACTAGAGTGACGTACTTTTGGAGGTATGGCCACGGTACAACACTTTGAGGGTCCTTATCATGGTCCTCCTCCACCGCGGCGGCTCCTGGGCTCTCTGCCATGCTTTTGCTTCCCCCAGTAGCGCGCGCGCATGTGTGTGTGTGTGTGTGTGCGCGTATGTTCGTGTGTGTGTGTCGTTACCAAGCCCTGCGCATGCGCATCAGCATTCTGTCTTTCTATATGTTTGTTTTATGCTGCGGGAAAATGCTGTAATATATGAACATCAGAGATGTCCGTGAGAAAATAGCTTTGGCTACTTGAGCAATAATATAGCTTAGCTACAGAAAAGTTACTAGGTTTTGTAAATAGTGACGCTACTGTCAAGCTACTGAAAAATGTAGTTAAGCTAGTAGCGACGCTACTGCCCATCACTGATGGTTCTTACACAGCTTCATCATTTCTACAAAACATCAAATATTCATCATTTGTTTGATTGAGAGGCGACAGTAGCTCAGTTGGTAGAGCATTGTGTCCTTGGGCAAGACACTTAACCCCACATTGCCTGAAGCTCCCGCTGAAGCACCAAGGCTGTGGCACCACTGATGTAGCAACCATCTTCCTGTGGACCCCCCCTGCAGAGGATCAGAGGGACTGGGGCTGTGAGACTTGGGTGTAGCTCTGATTGTCACCCCCCCGACCCAGACACGGATTAATAAAGGGGCAGAAAATGAATTAATGTTTGATCCAGTTTGTTGAAAGGCTCATGCTAACTGATGCTAACTCATGCAAACTGATGCTAACTGATGCTATCTCATGCTAACTCATGCTAACTGATGCTAAATGATGCTATCTCATGCTAACTCGTGTTAACTGATGCTAACTCATGCAAACTCATGCAAACTGATGCTATCTCATGCTAACTCATGCTAACTGATGCTTACTGATGCTAACTCCTGCTAACTGATGCTAACTGATTCCAAATGAACAGAAACAGAAAAAGTTACTAAGTTTTGAAGACCAAAAATGTAAATAAGTCGTTACACTTTGTGAACTAAAAGCCGTCAAATTGACTGCTCTGGGAGTGTGAACATGTGCTGTGTCCAGCCGGGAGCAGGAGGGAGGAGTGTCTGCGGGTTATGGAGGCTGTGAAGGATCAAAAACCCTGGTTTGGGTTTGAACAGGAGTTTGTGCTGAAGACTCTGGAGGGACTGCCCTTCGGCTGGTCCAGCGCCACAGCGCCCCCTGCAGGTACGTCCATTTTATTTATATAGCACCTTTCACTGACCAGCGCCACAAAGCACTTTACATCTGTCTCTGACTCCACACAGAGTGAGGTCACCTACAGGGGGCGCTGTCAGACCTACTCTACATGTTTTTAGGCTTAGGGGAAACCGGAGCACCCGGAGAAAACCTACACAGACACAGGGAGAACATGCAAACACTCAGAAAGACGCTGTTCCGACCAACACGTTCTTGCCGAGAAGGAAGAGTGCTAACCACTCAGCCACCGTAACCCTGTGGTGTGGTCAGTGGGGACATGTCGCATGTTAGCTTCATTTGAGAAAAACATTAATGTCTGGATTTTAAAGAAGAAGAAAATTTACTTTTATATTAAACTTATTAAAGAGAAAAGGATAAAGGTAAGACAGTAACATTTCCAAATCATTACAACATGAAAACAGAACTAACTGACGTAACAGTAAGATGAACAAACAGCAGGTCACAGGGTCAGTCTCCACAACAGCTGGATCAGAGTCTGGTCCCGTCGGTCTGGTCTTGGTCTAACCCAGGACTGTCCAACTCTGCGGAGCTGGTCCTGTTTAGTCGGAATGAAGACCCGCAGCCACTCCACCGTTAGAACAGTCCTGTGTTGGTCCCGGTTGGGGCGGGTCCCTGATCCAAAAGGTCCATGAGCATGTGCACTGACATACTGCAATACTACCCTGGGCCTGTGGGGGTGTACCTGGAAAGAGAATTACCCAATGTTTTTGTATGGGGTCTTCTTTCCCCTGGAAAACATCTTTACAGGATGGTCCAAAAGTGGGTCTTGGTCCAAGAGTGGTTCTTGGTCCAAAAGTTGTTTTCACATTTTCCTGAGGGAGGGGCTGCCCGTGGCCATTTTGAAAAAGCCCCATAGAAGCCAAAAGTTTCTGTAGATGTCACTACGTCTGTAATGTTTACAGTCTGTGGTTGGTCCCGGGTCGGTCTGAACCTTGGGTCTGGCCGCGGCCTCTGGTTCATGGTCTGTGGTTCTCAGGGGCCTCTATGGTCTGTGGTTCTCAGGGGCCTCTATGGTCTGTGGTTCTCAGGGGCCTCGGCGCAGGTGGGACTAGAGCGAGTGTTCGGTCGTGACATCAGCCTCAGTCACTACAACGCCTGTGTCTACGCCGGGATAAAGATGGCGGGAGCGGCGGGCGAGGCCATGCCAGCACAGGTGAGAAACCCTCAGCACAGGTGAGAAACCCTCAGCACAGGTGAGAAACCCTCAGCACAG